ATTTTTCTTCATATTTAAAGTGGTCTCATAATGCAGCACATTGTAATAATTAATGCTGAATGTCTCCCTCTCACAGCTCTCCAGACAGTGAAAGAGAGAGCTGTACTGGTACAGTTATGCAATGTGTAGCGGACTCGAGTTGCATTCCAATTGTAATTGTTTCCTCCTTGTTCTTCTGCAGCACTAAGCCGAAGGATGGTGTTTACATCCATGACCCGGAGAATGGAAGTAACGATTCCAATGTGGCTCTGGAAAAGCTCAGAGATGTGATTGCGCAGTGCATTCTACCGCAGGCTGGTAAAGGTTGCCACTTTTAAGAAAGTTACATTCCTAAATATGCAAGGCACTGACTTTGTGCTGTGCCTCACGATCAGTCTGGATTAGCAGTGAAGAAGGACAGACGAGCTGTCTTCTTCAAAAAGAAGACAAAGCTCCTGTCCTAATCTGTCTTGTTTCTGTGGACACTAGTTTTAGTGCATGTATAATAATTAGTGCCAACAGTAACATGTGGAGCTGTTAAAATAACTTGGAGACAGGAGTGTCTGTTTTCAAGCCAATTTCTTAGTTTGCATGAAGCAAGGGGGAATAACTGTACGTGTTGTTGTTTACTGAAGCTCTGAGTGTTGCTGAGAGGCAGAATGACAAACCTCCCGTTCATCTTTGTTCTCCTAAACAGGAGAGAATGAAGATGAGAAGCTGAATGAAGTGATGCAGGAGGCGTGGAAATATAATCGGGAGTGTAAGTTGCTGCGAGACACTCTTCAGAGCTTCAGCTGGAATGGTGAGGAACTCCTCTTTCCTTCAGGGTGGTGCTAGCGCAGGGTGAAGGAGAGAGAGCAGGGACCTTATTATGTGGAAATGAAAACAAACTTGAGTTTGTGCCACACTGATTGAGGTTCCCACACTGTTTCAGCCCTTCTCCAACATGGATATTTTAGAAATGAGGTTTAAAGTTCTGCTTTAAAATTCCTCTTTGAGGTTCAGGGTAGAGTTTTCAAAGGCACCAAGTCATTTGGGAACTTAATAGCACAGATGGATCATCACTTTAGAAACTGCTTTAGCTGATCCGAGCTGGTTTCCTTCCAGCTGTTTATTATCCTCTTTCTGGAGGCTGCTGCCCTTATCTATGTCAGCACAACATCTCTTCTATTCAATTTAGAAAGGAAATGGAATTAAACTAGGCCAGCTGCTTTTGGGAGTGTTTGATGGCTCCGTGACAAACCAGGGCAGTGGCACCAGCCAGGTTCACAAGGCTTGGCCATGTCTCTTCCTCATTTTTTTTTCTTTTTGTTTTTAATTTAAGTTTTTAATTTCCCTCTCTTTTTTTTTTCTTTCTTTTTTTTTTTAATGGAATTAGAGATCTTAACTGATTTGGTGGCCTTGCAAAAGTTGTCCTAAATGTCTCTGTACTTTGTGTTCAGCCAGCGTATGATGCCAGCCATAATTACTTTCCTCCTTCTGCCCAGCACCTGCTGACTACCTCTTTTTTTCCTTTCAGGCAGAGGATTCACAGATAAAGTGGATCGACTAAAACTGGCAGAAATAGTAAAACAAGTTATTGAAGAGCAGACAAACTCCCATGACTCTCAATAGCTGGAGCTTCTTAATCTTATTTTTTTTACCATTTAAGATTTATTCTTTAACTGTAAAAAGTATTTTTATGTAAATTAATAAATCATAATTATTTCATGAAATTTCCATACTGCTTGAAAATGCTGTATAGTTGTAGATACAAAAAATCATTGGTACTGTAATATTTTTTTAAAACTCAGTTCCTTGAGGTATATATGATCACTTATGTACTGTTAATCATGAGTCCCCCCAGATGGGGCAAATTATATTGTTAAAGACCATTCTTTTTCTTAATAACCAGTTGCAGAAGCTGCCTTCCATCTGCTATACATACAGCCAGCTGCAGTGACTATATATGTGAACAAGACAGCCACAGTTTCTCAACACCCTGCTCAGTAAGTACTTGAAGCAAGTGCTGTGAAATACAAACTTCATAGCTATCCTTTGCACCTAAATTCTGAGTCTTTATGTAGAGGCAACAAAATAGCCTTCTGTTTCGCTAGATGACCCAAGAGCCGTGCTTGGCCTTGCCAAGGGCACCTGAGTCCAAACGCTTGCTGCATTTTTCAGTTCTGATCAGTAGCCCTCTTTCTTTCTTCTGTAACCCATCGTCCCTGGACCTACTTTAAGGCTTAATGGCCATTCAGCATAAAGCTCCTCTTTTTATCATACCGTTCAACAGCAGAATCAAAGAATGTTCTAGTTCCTTATGTACGAGGTATTTTTCTTTTCCTGACGGGATCTTCTGTAGACAACAGTAAGCGTGGGGTCTATTTGTTTTGTCCCCAGATCAGAAGTTCTGTTTCCACCTTATTTTTTCCACTCTAGAAGATCCAACTTTTGTTTTCAAACTTGTCCTCTCGTTTGAAAGAGATCATCCTGGCAAGGGTCATAGTGCTGCTGTGTGAGTCCACCAGTGATCCTTCTCTTGTGTCACCCTCTGGAGTCCAAGCTCCCCGTCTCTTTGATGCCTTCGAGCTCCTCCTGGCGGAGCAACAGATGCAGGGCTGCTCCTTGACACATGTCCTTATGCTGCCTGGACCATGAGGCTGCCCAGGGCAGATTCTTACACTAGTCTGGAACATTGGCTCCAAAAGCTGCTTTTTTATTTTAATGAAACAAACAAATGAAAAGAATCTGTACATATTTCTAGTTTTCTACCTTCTGACACTTTTCTTTCTTTTGAGACTGGTCGAAGGCTTTTTATAGAGATATTTTGGTACTAAACCTGTGCAGACACTGAATGAGTTTGGTCTGCAGACTGAAGTGCCAATTCAGGGCTATTAGTAACGACTCTTGAACATTATTGTTATATTTCATAGCTCGTTAATTTTGGGTTTACATTTACAAACCTGAGCCATGAATCTCCCAATCTACTCTTACGGCAGTCCAGCCTTGTTCTTTTTTGTCTTTTTTCTATAACAGACTTCCTTGTAACCTTTAGCTTGGATGGCAAACCAGTGTCTGACTCTTTCTATGAAATTTTTTAAGCAGTAACTTAGTTTTTCTACATGAAGGAGATGCTTCATTTCCCATTCTTCGTCAGCACCTTGTCAGCTTTCTTTTAATCCTGTTGAGAGTTTTCCAGTGCTTGATTTATTCCACAGTAAGAACCACAGTCCCTATTTAACCGTCACTTTCTCTGATGGAAATGGGGAGTTTTTGCATAAGCCAGAATTGTACTTCTGACACTACATGGAATATTTGTGTACTGACATGCATTGATGACAACTGTAGAGAATTAGCAGGTGACAAGAGTGTTTGTTGTTTCTTGGTAGTATCAGCAAGTTTGCAGGCCCTATGTGCATTTCTCTCCTTGCCCTAAATTCCAGGTCGTGTCAACATCCACACAATCTTGAAATGTATAGATCATTTCCTTTTAAACTTGAAATCTGTGTGGTGTTTTTTTGTTTTTCCACTGGGAAATCTCAGTGTATGGGAACTTTTAAGTATGGAAAATAGAGAAATAAGCAAGGAATTCTCCTGTGTTTGAACGGGAGTGCAGGAAACTCCCTACAAAAGCACTTTTGCAGCTCTACCCTCTGAGGAGGAAGATACTCTGGCAGTTTCTGGAGAGCCAGAACTTCTGAGCAGAAAAATGGATCAGGTTGTAGCTACTCTCATTGTTAACACAGTGGGTTCAGCAGGCTACTGCCACGCCGCAGTCTGCTGAGATCCAAGCAGCTTGTGAGCACCGCAGAGTGTAACACACTGGGACTTCTTTTTTCTCTGGCAGGTTGCTCTGGTGTTAAAGATGACAGTAGCAAGGCTTGTACGCTGAGGTGTAATGGTCTTTAGGACATGGCTTCAGCCTACTTCTGCAGTACCATGAGAGGTTTGTGCAGTGGGGAGCACCTTGGAGGGAGAGCAGCTGCTGCTCGCTGCCATCCAAGGCAGCTTAGAAATAAGCAGAGAAAACAGGATCTGACTGCTTCAGAGAGTGCCTCCTCTCCTGGTGCTCTCCTCACTTACACAACAGGGTCATTTCAAGCAGTAACTGATAGTGAGGTGGGTACACTTGTGATTGACTGTGAAGTGTTTTGGTGTCTGGAGGGAAGTCACATTTCTAAGGGCTTTTGTGATGAGGAACTGCGTTTTATGGGTTTACTGTTGATTTTAGTGTCTGTGAGAAGTAAGAATGGCCTGATCTGAAATGGAGGTAGGGAAGGACAGATTTAAGAAAATGCAATTTGAAAATTCTAGGTCAAATGGTTTTATTTCTATAAGAAAGTTGATTATTTTACTCTTGAAAACAAGTTGTTTTAGATTTCAAAATTAAATAGACTTGAATTGATCTAATTGGCTTATTTTAAAGTTATATTTTACTTTCTTCTTCCTGGGTTTCTTATTTTTTGGTTGACATAAATGCAAGATACCTTGTCTTGATTATGTAACATTTGAGTTGGTAATAAATCTACTGATCCTTTACAGCAGACTGTGAATATTGTACATATCTTGAGATGGAAGAGTTGTGTGGGAACAAAGAAGACATTCTTTGTAAAAACACTAAAAGGATGTGGGAAAGCTATGTAGTTGTTTTTTTTTTTTTTCTTAGAGTTTTATTTAAGACAAGAATCTCAGAAATCATTTGACCTTTTCAAAATTTTATGTATATCTGACTGCTCCTGTGACTTGATTATTTTAAGGTATATATGTTGAAAGGTTAGGAGAATTGACTAGGAGAAAGAGTTTTTGATTGGAAATAGCAACATGTCAAAGTTTTGCTGTCATTACTTCAGGTTTTTCTTTAGGAAATCTGAATCTGTCATCATCTGCCACGTTTAACTTCTGTGTATTAAAATGTTTGCATTTCTCCTTTCCAGTGTTACCTGTACCATGTTAGTTTATTTCGGATCAGTATTATATTGTAAATATTACGCATCAATGTATATAAATGATTTTACTAAACTTAAAAGTTACTGGCTTCTTTTTTTTGGTCCCCAAGTCTCTTTAGCACAGAAGGGGAGAGGATGGTGGTGCCCGGAGCCCCGGAGCTGTGCTGTTGTGCTCCCTGCTGCCTCAGCACTGTGAGAAACCACTGCTGGTAGGCGTTTGCTTCTGTAACACAACTCTTTGAGGTGAATGAGCGGCCAACAAGATAGGCTGGGTAAAGCCCTAGGAATTTGTGTGCTCTGCCTGGTGACAGAGCCTGAAAAGCGCCTCTAAATGCCGTTAGATGGCAGCAGGACATCCCTGCTGCTGCAGGTTAACTCCTGAAGATCAATTTTTTATTTTTTTTTGTAGCTACAGCTTCCAGGGAAAGGGACGGATGAATTGCTCTGTGCAGCTCGAGTAGCACTTAGTGTTTATGACATTCCCCCTGTTGAATCTAACAACTCCTCCATTCTGCCAAGAGCGTTCCTGGTGTCTGTAGGAGAGGAGGACGACTGGCAGGGCACTGTGGAAGGACTGGCAGCCGGTGAGAAACTGGTAGGTGAGAAGTAGGTTGGCCTTTGTTCAGGCTGGTGGGAAGGGGAGTGAGAGAACAAGTTCCAAGCATCCCAAGTGTATTTAAGGCGGCCAAATACTCTATAAGCGTAGAAGAAAAGACTCTTCTGTACTCACAGAAGAAGGATGCCTGGCCCAATGTATGCATCTCCCCTTCCAGCAAGGAAACTTCCCTGAACGGTTAAAACATTTGGTGACAGGCACTCAGCTGAGTGATGTGCCCTGCAAGGAAATCTGTCAACAGCCACTGCAGGCTCTCACCCTGTGCCGAACCCATTAGCAACCAAATCCTCATTGTTTTCCTGGTAATCTTCTGTTGCTTTCCACTTAGGAAGGCTTAATCCCCTTTTAAACAAATTGCTGTAGCAGCACTGGCTCGTCGTGCTCTCAGCAAACGGGGTCAGCCCAAGCAGGGCACAGCAGGCTCTTAGTGGTGGGATGGGATGGTATTTAACAGGATGCTGCTCCTGCTGGTGCCTGGAAATCCTGTCCCCCCCGTGGAATGTTTGTGTTCGAAGTGGAGCTGGGGAAACGGCCTCTCCTCGGGCCCTTCCGTTCCAGCTGGATGCCAGCCCCAGGAGCGGCTCTGCTTCGCCTCCTGCCCCGTGCCGGTGACCGTGGCTCCAGCCGGATGCAGCCGTGGGTCATGCCAAGGTGTTTCCTGATGGGGAATGGGATTCTCCTCACGCTGGGCTGCTTCTTGCTCCTGCTGCCCCACGCAGACTGCAGCCCCCAGCCCACCTGGGGCAGTGCAGCCTACGAGATAGTCATTCCAAGGAAACTTGGCCCCAAGGCAGGGAAAGCCAGCCGGGACAGCATGTCCTACGTCATCAGCATTCAGAGGGTAAATTACACCATTCACCTCAGGCAGAAGACAAACTTTATAATAAAAAACCTCCCTATATTCACTCGTGACTCTCAAGGGAAAATCATGATCGAACAGCCCCGTGTGCTAGCAGATTGCTATTACCACGGCTACGTGGAAGGCATCCCAGACTCCATGGTGACTCTGACTACCTGCTCTGGGCTCAGAGGACTGCTGCAGATTGGAAACTTGAGCTACAGCATTGAGCCCCTGGCAGCTTCCCCTGCATCTGAGCATCTTCTGTTGCAGAGGGAGGTGGCGGTTCCTGGAACGGTGATCTACAAAACGCCCCAGAGAGGCAGGCAATTTCCAGGGCATGGTACAGCAAAAGGGCAGTTAAAGGACCAGGGGCACATGCGGTATCTGGAACTCCTCGTCGTGGTGGACAAGGAAGGGTTTGATGCTTTCGGTGGAGACATAACTAACGTGATGTTGGAAGTTATTGAAATAATCAATCTGGTGGACGGGCTGTTTTCTTCTTTCCGCCTTCGCGTGTTATTAGCTGTGCTAGAGATTTGGACAGAGAAGAACCCTATCAGTATTACCAAAAACATTTCTGAGGTCCTTCACAATTTTAATCTTTGGCAGATCCAGCAAAGCCCTACGCATGTTGCGTATGATGTGGGGTGTCTGTTTGCCTCGTTGGACTTTGGTCACAGCACGGGAGCGTTGTACAGGAGCGGCAAATCGAACTTCGCCAGTGCCTGTGATAGAAAACGTGCTTCTGCTGTTGTTTCGTTTGCCAAGCGGACTTACATGGACACTGCTGTCTACGTCGCCCACGAGTTAGGGTATGTCCTCGGCATTGATCGTGATGACAAGTACTGCAGGTGTGGAAACGCCTCTAAATGCATCATGAACGCACAGAGCACAGTGAGCTACGAATTCAGCAACTGCAGCACAAGGTACTTTTTTGATTTTATAGCATCAGGGCGAGGACACTGTCTGAATAACATCCCAGAATCAGTAACGATGTTTGTACCGCAGCGCTGTGGGAACGGCATCCTGGAGCTCGGGGAGGAGTGTGACTGTGGCTCAGAAGCACAGTGTGAATTGGACCCTTGCTGTGATAACAGCTGCCGAAAGAAAGAAGGAGCCATTTGCACTTCTGGGCTCTGCTGCAAGAATTGCAAGCCTCTCCCAGAAGGAGAAGTGTGCAGGGAGAGCACCAATCCCTGTGACCTGCCTGAATATTGCAATGGGATATCTGAGCATTGCCCAGCGGATGTGACCAAGCAAGATGGGACAGTGTGCGCTGAGGACGGCTACTGTTACGCAGGCAAATGCAAATCACGCATGTTACAGTGTAGGAACATCTTTGGTGAGAAAGCAGAGCCCGCTCCACTAAAATGTTACAGGAAGCTGAACATGAAAGGGGATCGGTTTGGCAATTGCCAGGGAGATGGGCTAGGGACCAAATTTCAGAAATGTAAGCCCGAAAATGTCCTGTGTGGGAGGGTGCAGTGTATCAATGTTTGGCATCTACCTTGGCTGGAAGAGCACTCAACCATCATTCAAACCCCAGTGGACGATACCTTGTGCTGGGGCACAGACTACCACTTGGGCATGGAAACCTTGGATATTGGAGCCATTGAGGATGGCACGCAGTGCGGGGTGAAGAAGATCTGCATTAACCAGACGTGCATCCTCAGGGAGAAGCACTTGGCACCCAGCTGCTCTGCCCAGAGCACGTGCAGAGGAAGAGGCGTTTGCAACAACAAAGGCAACTGCCACTGCAACCGTGGCTGGGCACCTCCCAACTGCCAGTTTTTCGGCTTTGGGGGAAGCATCGACAGCGGGCCTACGCCAGTCACTAAAAATGGGCTTATGAATTTCATCATCAGGATGACCATGCTAACCGTTACCGGTGTGGTGCTCACAGCTCTTGTCATGGACCGTGTGAGAAAGCTCAGAGCACGCCGAGCGTTAAGCAGGGTGGTCGGATGCTTTCAGGCTAGAGAACGGGCTCCTGAAGGGGTGTGAAGGACTAGGTGGAAGAGGACAGGGCTAAACCAGCTGAGAGGCAAAACTGCCCTGCATAGGACCTCATGTGGCAGCAGTAGAAAGCAGGACTTGGCTTCAGCCTCACAGCTGCGGTGGACTTATTTAAAATTGATCTAGATTCAAGTGTAGAGTTAGAATAGCTGTAGAATAGCAAAAAGAAATTGTTTTCATACACCTTGGTAGGAAAAAAAAAATTGACTGAAATGACAGAGGGGCTCAGGTTAGTTTGAAATGCTGCTGCACATTTGCACTGGCGGACACGGCCGCAACTGAGACAGGCGTCAGCTGCTGTGGAGGGACGGGTGCTGCACTGTGAGGAGTGCTGGTGTGGTTAAATCTCAGAAACTGCGCTTCGCAGGCGATCTCTGGGCAGGGATTCCCCTTTTGGGAGGAGGTGGAGGGGGTATTGAGGACACCCAGCTCCTCAAATCTCACGGAGCAGCGAGGGAAGAGCGGCGGCAGCTCCCCGGCTGCCTCAGCCCTCAGAGAGCAAAGCGCAGCAGGGCCGCCTGGCCTTCATCCCTGTCACCTCACAGCCTTTCTGGAACCTTCTTGAGCAGCACTGAGGGGATCAGCTGCAGGGCACCGGCTCTGCCACAGCCACCAACGGAGCACCTGAAGGGAGATAGGCTCGAGATGGCCGTGCGAGGGTTGGCGGAGCCCTCACGGAGGTGTCTGGCCTCCATTTTGAAGGCTGTGGTGGTGAGGTGGCTCCAGGCAGGTCATGGCGGCCAGGCCAAAGCCCTGCTCCTCAGGCTGGGCGTTTGGGCAGTTCTGGCGGCTCCTCTCCTCCCCAGGGCAGGCAGCCATCGGCTGCCACCCGGCTACGCTGTCCATGAGATAATCCGGCCAAAAAAGCTGTCCCCCGTGGTAGGCCGGGCAGCGTTGGGAGAGGTGTCCTATGTCATCAGGGTGGAGGGAGAGAACCGCGTCGTCCACCTCACGCAGACGCGGGGACTCGTGGTGAAAAACCTGCCGGTCATCACCTACAGCCCCCGAGGGAGGAGGGTGGTGGAGCAGCCCCATGTCCCCGAGGAGTGCTACTACCTGGGCTACGTGGAGGGCAGCCCCGGCTCCCTCGTGGCGCTGAGCACCTGCTCGGGTCTGAGGGGACGGCTGAAAATCGGGAACCTGAGCTACGGCATCGAGCCCGTGCCGGGGTCCCTGACCTTCCAGCACCTTCTCTATCGACGGAAGATGACCCAGGACAAGCCTTCGACGTGTGGATTGACTGATGAAGCGATCCAAAAGCAACCAGGCTTGACGGGTATTAAAATACCTTCAGCGAAGCAAGACTTGTCTCAGAGACTGATGCGCACCAGGTATGTCGAGATCTTTATTGTGGTGGACCACCAGCTGTTTTCTTACCAAGGGAGCAACGAAACCTCTGTGATGGCTCTGGTTACAGATACAATCAATTTATCAGAAACCTACTATTATCCTCTGAAGATTCGCATCTGCCTGATTGGGCTGGAGATGTGGACACGTGGCAACATAATCAAGCACAGCCTGGATATACAAGAAGTTCTTACAAATTTTAATAGCTGGGTAAATACAGACCTTTCCAGCAGGATGAAGTATGACATTGCACATTTATTTACTTACACAGACTTCGGATTCACCGTTGGGCTGGCCTACGTAGGTAGCATCTGCTACCCTGGTTATCAGTCAGGTATTGTGTCTCACATACGAAGGGATTTCATAACCTTTTCAATTATTTTCACTCACGAGCTGGGCCACAATCTGGGGATGGAGCATGACAAAAAAGAGTGTGTGTGTGGAAAAGCCACCAAGTGCTACATGACGGGAGAGTCGCTCAACGGCGCCTCGGCTTTCAGCAACTGCAGCCTTCAGAGCTTTGTAGACCTGCTCAGCAGAGGGGACGGCGAATGCTTAAACAACATCCCCGAGCCCAACAGATTTTTCTATTTTAAGCATTGTGGCAACAAGGTGATAGATGAGGGAGAGCAGTGTGACTGCGGGGGGCCGCAGCACTGCCAAGGCAACCCCTGCTGCTACCAAGACTGCAGGCTGAAGCCGGGGGCTGTCTGCTCCGTTGGGCAGTGCTGTCAGAAATGCCGCTTCCGTGCTGCGGGATACAAGTGCAGGCCAGAGGTGGATGAGTGTGACTTACCCGAGTACTGCAACGGGACTTCGGAGTGGTGCCCAGAGGATCTGTACATACATGACGGGACGCAATGCAGCGACGATGGCTACTGCTACCGTGGGAAATGCGCAACCTATGACAAGCAGTGCAGAAAAGTCTTCGGGAACGAAGCTCGGGGTGCTCCAGAAAGTTGCTTCAAAGAGCAGAACACGAAAGGGGATCGATTTGGCAACTGTGGTGGTGATGGGACTGAAGTTGCTTTTGCGGCATGTGAACCCCAAAATGCTCTGTGCGGCAGGCTGCAGTGTGTGAATGTGAGGAGGATTCCCTTCCTGGAGGGGTCTGAAACCATCATTCAGATGCCAGGGTCTGAGGGGTGGTGCTGGGGCACAGCCTACCGTGCTGGCGTCGATGTACCTGATATAGGAGGAGGACTCGATGGCACCAAGTGTGGTCAGGAAAAGATCTGCATTAATAAGACGTGCACAGACGCCGTGGTCAGAACAAAGTGCGATGCAAACATTTTGTGCCAGGGGAAAGGGGTTTGCAACAACCTTGAGCACTGCCACTGCAAAGCTGGCTGGGCCCCCCCTTACTGCCAGTTCCGTGGTGTGGGAGGGAGCATGGACAGTGGCCCCCCGCCACACTTAAGAATCTCCACGGCAGAGGCTGTCCAAAATAAAGCTTTTGGGACTGCGCTAGGGATCGCTGTTCCTGTTGCCATCGTTCTGATCGCTCTCCTCATTGCTGCAATCAGATACATCAACGTAATCACTGCGTTCTTCACTACACGTTCATGCACAGAGGCATCAGAGACTTCTGAAGATGAGGAGCAGAACACAGAAGAAGATGATGACGATGTTTAAAAGAATGAAAGCAGTGGGAGAGCTTTGTGAGCTGGGAGAGCAGTGGGAAAGCACCAGCTGAGCTTTGGAAAGGACTGCAGGCCCCATGGGAACCTCTGAAACCAGACCATTATTCCCAAGAGATTTGTACAAAGTATTTTACACAGTGTAACTGTGTAAACTGTATAAAAGTTACTTACACAAAACTTGAGTATTTCCTCTTCCTGTCCTACCAACTATGTAAATAAATTTGGGTTGGACCCGAAAAGTAAAGCTATGAGAATTTAAAGAGCATAAAAGTTATAGGGTTGTTTTCCTCCCAGTGTAGCTAAAAAACTGTTTTATTTTCTATAGAATGGTGGGGTCTTAGTAAGTAATTCACTTGAGTATCTAGACCAGCACAGATTCATGCAAAGTCCTGCTCTGGTTCATGAGAGATGCTCCACTGGGTTGAAGAAGCTTATTGTTCTGAGTATTGCAGCTGAGCAGAAGTTGGCCTGAAGACCAAAAGGGAGATGTGGGGAAAGTCATGGAAGTGAGTGCTGTTTCTTTTCTGCTACAAATTTCCATCCTATGCAGTTGGCTATCAGCAAGGTATGTGTTCTTATTTTTATGTTGAATCAAAAGTCAGAGATTTAAAAATATTCACCTTTGCTTTAATGATAACTTGTAATGGCAAATACCTGACAAACAGTTAAAAAATTAAAACATCCTTTGAGCATCTGCCCTCAAAGGAGCTGCACTAGGTCTCTGAGCTGTTGTACATAATTCAATGCATTTCTAGAGATATTTCCGTAAGGAGAAAGTCTGTAGTACTAAAGAAGATTTACCATGTTTAAAGAATCCCTTTAAAGTCCATACAGGTCTGTAAAATAAATAACTACCTTCACTGAAAGTGCTTCTCTGACAGATCTGCTCAGGCTCTTCCAGCACAGCAGTTACCTGTGCTGCTGACAACAGTGCACACCGAGACAGCCGCTACCAGCTCTAGCTGGCACTGCTGAATGAGATGAGGCCCCGCTGGCACGCTGCCTGTTCTCCCTTCGCTGCAGGGATGCATCAGAGCAGGGTGGACGTGGGCACCTCTGCGTCTGGAGGGCTGGCAGGGAGCGTGCTGTCATAGAACTTCTTCTGGGAGCGCAGGAGAGGAGTCTGAGTGTCAACGTCGCGGCAGGCGTTGCGTTTGAGAGAGAGGAAGACGTGCTGCGTCCAGCCATACACAATGCAGTTCAGAAGGCCCTGGGAAGCTGCTGTCAGCGCCTGGGAGAGACAGCAGCAGAGATCAGGGCTGTCTCGTCAGCCAGCGCCGCACAGCACTCGGAAGCTCCCTCCCAGGCTGTCAAACCTGGCACATTTTGTCAGGCCTCCCACTTCCAGCACAATTTTATCTATCTGCATCCCCACACGATACAGGAATCTCACGGTTATTTTAATAAGCTTTGCGAAATGCTGCCTCAGGCACATCAGGCAGCTGGATGAGTGCTGGGAAGGAATTACATTTAGAGACTTTCACAGAAAGTGAAAAACCTAACCGAATTCTGAGGACCCCTTCCAGTCCTATTTGCTATGATCTCAGTTACTGAGACCTTTTTAAGCCCGTGAAAAACAGAGCAACTAACAAAGATCTTTGCCAACCAGAAGTATAAATCTGACTTAAGCTCATAGAGCAGTCATATTTGTAGCTAGAAAAAAGGTTTTTAGGCAGAGATTAGAAACAGGCAGGCACTAAGAGACGATGGTTCAAGTAGAGAAGGCAAAACAAAGGAGGTTGCAGATGAAGACTTTACCTGTAGAATGAGGAGAGCCATGTAGATTTTGCTGCTTGTTGAAACCACCAGCTTCAGAATTCCGAGTAGGACAGCTGTGAAAAGGGAGTGTCAAAAGGGTGTTGCTTTAACCCCACCTCTTTTGAGTTTCCTTGCCAGGCTCTATGCCTTACGAGGATATGGTGACAGTAACTCAGTGCTCTGCTAACCTGGGGCCCAACAGCAGAAGAATGCGATGGGGTAGAAAACCACTCGTTGTTCCACCACCTTAATCATGGCCCACTGCTGGTCTCCCAGGAATCCTGTGGAGTTTACAAACCTCTTGTACAAACCTCGGGCTCGAACGAGTACAACCTAAAAAGAATAAGCATATATCACTGCTTGAATTTTGGACACGTGCTCTGATCTGGCTTGTTTAGCTAGGACAGAGTTATCCCGTGTTTTTTAGCTAAATCCTCATTTCAATCTATGAAATCTTTTCACACTGTGCGACAGGGTACACCCTGGGGCAGAGCAGTTGCTTTGCACGTGATCTTTTTTGAGCTGAGGACACTTAATTCATTTGCTCTCTTGCACAGGAGCTGGCCTGTGCACTAGGTGATCCCTGCTGCCATTCTCTGAGCCTCCACTACCTGCCAAATCCTTTTTGAGGTGGGCTGACAGAACACGGGGCTGCAGATGGATTTATACGGTGGCACAATGAAATTATCCCTTCCAAAAGGAAAAAGCACCACTCAGTTCATCCCCTGATGCTGTCTGGCTGCTGGCACCATCCAAGCAAACCTGGGAGACCGATGAGCATGCACACAAAGTGACCTCTCACTCGTGTAAAGACAAAAAGGGGCAAAACTTCTCATCTTTCACACCGCTAGCGTGCAAGGACCACGTTTCTTACCAGAATGGCTACGAAGCTGATCAGAAAGGAAACGAGGAAGACCCCCACACCATAGAAATGCATCACACGGCAAACGGAGCCGTTCAGCGTCAGTGGCTCGGTGGTGGGCACAGCTGCCTCTGTGTGCATCAGGAGACATCTGCAGGGGAGAAAGGGAACGGACGGAGCTCTTGCCGTGCCTCAGAAGTGGTGAGGCTCTTTCAGAGAGAGGCGTGAAGCTTACCCGTGCTTCTGACTGAAGTTCTGGTAGCAATTGCTGTTGTTGCCCAGGCAAAACACAGGCACCATGAGAAGAAAAGGGACCAGGCTGGGAGGAGAGAGGACGACAGCACAGTTACTGCATTGCAATTCTCCTGTCCCCAAACACTCCTTCTTCTGTCTCCTGTCACTACAGAGGACTTGGAAATTGTTCTTATTGTGCTGCTCTGGAGGAGTATTTTACCAGCTTGGCTAACTTCCACACTTCATTCATCCAGGCAATTAGTAAAGGGAGCACTTTCTGAAAAGGAACCTATACGTAGTTCATACAGCTGTAAGTAACTTGGCTGGAGAAAGGCCCTTACATCCAAAGACTCTTGCTCAGAGTTTGTTAGGTCACTGCTGCCATTGAGGACAAACACGGGTTTTAGTAAAATTTGCTCCAAAACAAGCTGGAAGCAGGGATCAGGACGCTGCAGTTTACCAAACCCACAGCATTTTGCCAGAAACAAATCTTACCTGGACAAGATCGTTGCTGCTCGGCCAATGCAGCTCACGTAATCTACAACCTGCAAAGTCCAAAGAGCTTAATTAAATGATTGTTTCTGTACAGCCACTGGCTCCCAGGAACCAGCTCCCAGGGAGTGCTTCAGCAGCTCTGGATCCTACAGATGCTGGTTAATCCCCAGACCGAGTACAAATGCTGCTTCCTGCTTTGCTCTGAATGAACACCGCCAGGCTCAGTGTGTGCTGATGTGCCAGAGGAACATCCGACACCTCCACCAGCTCACTGACGTGGTCTCCTTCAAAGCCAGGACTGAGAAGAGCACTTTAAACCAGACAAGCAGCAGACACTTGGTGAGCTCCCTGGTGTAACTTACTCCTTCTTTGTACTGCTCATTCATTCAACCCAACCCTGTTCCTCAAAAATTTCATGTTCTGATGAAGAAATGCAGGCAGCTTGGAGTGTCCTGGCCTCAGGTCATGAGGAAATGTACTCCAGCAGCTGGCATCCACACACCAGCTGTGAGAATTAAACACAGGCACAGCTGTGGTGTTGGGAAACTTGTTGTAGGTGCTGCGTTTTGAATGGGAGCCCAGGAAGGAAACCAATCCTACAAGCGGATCCAAACCCTACAGACAAGAGCCCTTGAAACAGAGCGATCTGCAGACAGGTGGAGTGTCTGAGACGTGGTTTGCTGCCCACAGCAAAGGTCTGGGGAAGAGAAAAGCTGTTTAAAGATGTGTTCAGCGGGAAGAGCTGCATAAGGAGCCTGCTCTCTTGCAGTACCACAGCGGGAGGACCTGCAGTTAGAGCAGTGGTGGTGCCACTGTTTAGCCAGGTGTGAGAACCAAACGACTGCAGGCAGAGATGTAGATCACATGGCAAGTGAAGTGTTTGCTTAGCCTGCAACTCAACGAGTATTTTTTGAGCACCACGTCCTTGTTCCTCGGTTCCCAGCGATCGCACCGGCTCCCAGATGGGTTTTCATAAAGGTCAGCGACGACGAAGGCAGGGGTTGTTCAGGGAGCCAACCCCTCCTTTTATCACTAGCTCCCTCCCGTCACACCTCCCATCTCAAGCTCTTACAAAACACTGCTGATGCTCTCAAAGCCTGTACAACACCTGGGGAGGCCAGAAATTGCCAGTTCTCAGTTCTGGACTGCCCAGGCTGCCCCTGCTTTCCTGTCCCCTGGAGTCATTGCTCTGCCAGGAGGCAGTGACAGCAACAAAGCAGCTACTCGACTGGTGCAAACTGGTCTTCTGTGGGAGAACTTCACCGATCCTGAGCTTTCTCTGCTCTGAGATGTGCACTGCCATTTGCTTTTGCCTGTTTTTGCTTTGCAAGCCCAATCCTTCACTGAGATCCTACAGCACCCTGAGCTGTAACTTGTGCCACAGCAAGATACGCCAATTCATCCAGAAGGCCTTCAAAGCCCCTGAGGCAGGGTCTGCTGCCTTGTATGAGCCTCCCAAACCCCACCAGAACCCCCCAGGTAGGTCTCGGTCCCCAGCGGCTGCTGTATATCGGTCCTACTCACCGTGGGGGGCATCCTGTTAAGGCTCTGGTTGTATTTCACCTTCAGGTCCCTGTACAGATGCCAGGTGTAGTTGACAGTGTACAGAAAAGAGGCCACGTAGAACACCTGAGGAACACAAAGAGCCAGGATTTCGGACAAGAGCTCCTGCAGCAGCTTTGGTTCATGGCTGATGAGCCACGGGCCAAAGGTAGGGTATTAAACAGCGTGGGGGACTGCCCACAAAGCGCCGGTTCAATTTGGCGCAAATTCTAGCACGGCTTCAATTTGGCCCCAAATCAGGGCCAGAGGACTCTTACAAATACAAATCTTTGTGACTCAGGTCATTTTTTGGCCCAAATTCTGACAACGCAAAAAGGTTTAAAGGCACTTCCAGCTTCTCTGCGCTGCATCCGCTGGAAAACACAACACAGACAAGGTGATGAGACTTTTTTTTTCTCAAGTGGCAAGCTCACTGCCCAGTGAATTCACGGAAATGGGAAACAATAGCACACATGGAGAGGAAAGCGGGGGCAGAGACTACAACAATTGCACCGTGAGCCAGATTTAGCATGCTAAGAATCCTGTTCCCTCCATGGAAAAAAAAAAAAAGAGGAAAGAAAAGCTACAAAACACCGCTTCCCACAATGAGTTTCCCAGCCCTTGATTGCAGCTTGAGGTAAAACCAAATACCGAAAATCTCCTGTAAAAAGAACAAATCTTCCTTGCACTTTTTCTGGATCCCCAGCCACGGTTGCTTGAGGCAGCCGAGTCCAAACAGAGCTGCCTGCCCTTACTATATATACGCGTGTGCTGGGCTTGTTACAGGAAACACATGCTTCAGTGGCAAAGGCAAAGAGGAAGGGCTGGACAAGTGAATTTTTTTCTGTGGATTTGCCACCCTCTGCCAAAGAAGCAAGGAGCACAGGTTTGTCAGCCCGGTATCACCAAAGTCCAGGAATAAGTCACTAAATAAACTCGGGCTCCTTCACCAAGGGTGCAAATACTCTTGGCTTGTCCTCGAGAGGCTGGGTCCGAGGGACTGCTACACTGCAGCGCGAATGTTACAGTGACTTCCCAGCTCATTAGAGGAGGTTTAATGAGGGTTTGTTGCCCTTCTTCAATTACTTCCAGAGAAGGTCATCGAAGCAGCCCGCAAAGATAATTCTCTTGCACTGCAAACCGCCTCGGAGAGCTCACAAAGCGCCAACGCTGCCTTCTTTGGGAGAGGGAACCCCAAACCTCTCGTGGAGCTGCAGGAAGGCAGGAGGAGCAGGGAGTTCTGCTCCCCTCAGCCCCACCTCGGGGGCTGCGGGCGGTCCCGCAGCGCTCAGCCGGAGGAGCTCAAGGGAGACCCGAGAGCCCCTCATTACAACACTTCGGTGGCTCCCCATTGTGCTCAGTGGCCTGAGCGGAGCTTGCCAGGACATTATTAGGCCACTGGAACTGAACTGGAAGAATGTGGGGGAACTGTGCAATTATAACCACGATCTCTGTTCCGGGCTTCAGCGCTGCGGTGCAAAGGCAAAGCAGGGAGAAGGAAGGAGCAAAGGCAAGGGGTGGCAGAAGGGAGCACTGTTTACATCTAATAGTGTGAGTTCAACCACAAGCCTGGGGCTGAAACAGGAAAAGTCCATGAAATAAAGCCACCTCCTGCTTTAGGGCACGGTGCGGATGCTAGGGGAGTTCCCCTGGCAGTACCTTCAGCCCCTGGTGATGATGTGATGGTCAACAGCTTGCATAAGCCAGAACTCTGCCTTGATCCTACAGCGATCCCCTGAGACCACCAAACCACACGGAGTGTGCTGTGGGTCTGCAAACACCGCTGCTGAGCCTGTCCCACCCCTGTCTTTTTACAGCTTTTAGGTGTGCAAACCAGCCAGGTGGATTTACGAGACAGCCAGGAATGCAACCCTTGCAAGACTTCTCCTCCGTGCAGAGGACAGGGCCGGGAGCCGTTTGTTCGTTTCCTTCGGTCACAGATCACTTACATTCTGCAGAAGGCGCCGGTCAAACCTGTTGCTGGCTCCTACTTACGCACGAGATGTCCCCACCGCACACGGGCACTGCTGGGGTTGAGCAAGGAGGTGTCCTGCGCCCCGTCACGTGCGCCGCGCGGGCGCTGTTGCTATGGCAAGTGCTCCGTTTGTTTTAATTTCTCCCAGAGCAAACAGCAGCCAGAGCTCCTGCCAGACACAAGCCGGCTCGGCTGTCCCCGTGGCTGAGCCCGGGATGGGGCAGGCACCCCACACAGCACCCCAAAAGCAAGAGCGGGAAGGAGCCAGAAGTGCACGAGCTCATAGCGTGCTCTCCATGTCCGCACTGAGAATTGATGCTGTGTTGTCTGTTTCTCCTCCAGCACTGCAGTCTGTCTTCTCCAGGCCTTAAGAAGTTCACCCCAACACCCAACTTCAAGAGCTGTCCCCCAGGCAAAGCTGCGAGGGAAACATCTCTACAACCCCTCTGCAACCCCCTCGGTCCTGCCGGCTCCTTCTGCCTTCGGGCTCTGAAAAGCCTCCCCTGAGCTGTTCTCACTTTCCCCTGTACTATCATCTAAAGGACATCTTTGATCCCGTTCTGCTTCGTTCCCAGATAACCAAACCACGCTGCGGTGAACATATTGCGCTGTTTCTCCAGCAGCACAGCTTGGGAAAGCAGAGAGAAGCCAGGAGTGGAGCAGCTGCTCTCCAAGCTCTGCTCTCCATCACAATACAACTTCACCCAGACACAGCTGTGAAATAACACCAGGCTGCAGCCTCCCGTCCCCACACACACGGTGTGAGCACCTCCACAGCCCCTTGCTCTTCCCAGCGACATTTTTGTGGGCGCTTCAGAAGGAAACTGTCAAGCCCAGAGGTTGCCACTCACAAAAAAAGCCCCGCAGCTTTTCAAGAGCAGTGATTTGCAGGGCTTAACGTCCAAGTGGGAACTTGGTGAGACACGAGCAAAACATCAGGAAAACAGCATTTCCTTCATTCCACTCCAGTTAGTCTCAGAAATCATCCCAGAGCGCTGGAAAGCAGCCGAAATCGCTGGGGCATGGGGGCTGAGGTTTCACAGAGAGCAGCCCCCGAGCATCCTCAGGACTTGAGAGAGCACAGGGCTGGGTCAGCGAGCTCAGGAAGGGCAGGGCTCTGAGAAATGTTTTAAATCCGAGCCCAAATGAATGGCAGAACGCATCTGCTCCTGCCCTGGGTGGAGGAAGCACGAAGAGGAATAGGAAAGCTGCAGCATGGGAGGCACAGAGATAATCTTTGGCGCGGGACCAACAGGAAATAGATAAAGCCCCATCTACTCGCTTTGCAGAAGTAACCCAAACGCTGCAACCACAAAATCCCATGCTCTCTTTGCCTTCCTTATTGCCTCTCGCAAAGCAGCTGTACCTAAAACCAAGCACCGTTATCTCTGGCGTACAAACGAGGCGAAGAGATCTGATTAAGTCAAGTTTGCCCAGGGAGCCTCTGCCAAAGCCGGTCTAGGAACAGTTCCCCACGGCCACGCTCTGATCACCGGCGAGGCTAATTACAGTAACGGGCTCAAAATGATGAATCGTGATGCCGAGGCTACTCACTTGTCCCGTGGCTTGCAGGTTGTAGCAGATGAGATCGTGTTTGGAGGTCGGTGTGCTATAGAGCAGCGCCCCGGTGAGCCAGCACATGCCCAGGAGCAGGTCGGAGAGGCTCAGGTAGAAAAGAGGGCGAACCTGGGGAAATGAAATCAGTCAGCAGGTCCGGGCAGTGCTCACAACAGCCCCGTGACCACCGCCAGCAGCAGCTTGTTCCCCTTGCCTTTGTATCTGCTTCTATGCCATCACCCTGCCCTGCCCTAATCTCCCTCTCTGCCACAGCAATGCCCCCAGATCCAAGAGCAGCACCAAACCTTACAAACCAGTAGATCATGGTGTGATCTGCAGCTTGGCAGAATGAGGCAGGTGTGCAGGGAGAAGCAATCGACAAAATCAATTGATAGAGAAACTTCTGGGAAACACAAACCCTCCTTCAGGTCTGAAATACCCTGAAACGGGCATTTTTCCCCTGTGTTTCATGGCATTTCAGCTGGCGACTCAGGCTGAACCTATTTTACATGCCAGGTTAATGCAGCAAGGATGCTTTTTAGGAGACTCGATTTTAAGATTTTTTTCCGGGAACTGAGCCTTTGGGTGAAATTTCCCCCAATATTGTCCTTTAAGTCAATGCCTGCCACCCATCATGTCATGTTATGCTTCTCTTGTCCCTGTGAGTAAACAGAAAGAGCTTAGGAAGACTGAGGAGCATCAAGGCACATCTGATTGAACCCGAGCTGTCCCTAAAGGCGGTTTTTGCTGAGATCTGCCTGGTGTCTTTCAGACCCCACAGCAGGCCCTCTGCCTCCTGCGGGGTTTCTCCTCAAACAGCCTTGCCTCCCCAGGTCTGAGGTTGTCCCACCTCGCCCAGCAGATCGAGCCTGGACATCGTTGTGCTTATCAACGTCTCTCTGAGCAGCGATAAATCCGGGCTTCTCCTCGCTGGTGCAGAGCTGAAGCACCAGCAGGCAGGGGCACGCCAGGCTGGGGACACTTCCAGGTTGTGAGCACGGCATGTTAGAGCCAAGCAGCTCTCAAATAAGCAAAGCAGAAACTTTTGCCCCAAAACACGAGACCTCTTTCTCCAGCACCACGTGTCCTCGGAGGGAAGCGCCACTGCAGGCTGAGGAGCCCTTTTGGCACGGACCTAAATGAAGTAGGTGGCCCAGTCCTAAGAGAAAGGCAGCACGGTTCTTACTTGCAGAAGGGAAAAGAAGAAACAAATGGTATTTATAAAATAGAGGAAGGGACTGTAAAGACGTAATCATTCAGAGGAGCTGCCAGGCTGGAGCTGCCAGGCTGGAGCACAGATGTTGATCTTGCTACGCCTGGTCATCGCCCGCGGACATCTGCCCGCAGAGAACCTGTGGACATGACAGAGGAAATTCCGTGTTCAGCGCTTGCCATCATGAATGATTCAGCTCATGCTGAAGTTTTATTGACTCCGTAGAGGCCGAAAGCAAGTTTCAAGAACGCAATATTTGATTTCCTCAGCTGGGGGTAGGAGGGGGAAGTGTTTATAATATTTTTCTCCTCCCAGCCTCCAGAGCTGTTTATTTCTTACTCTGGAGTCTCATGACACAGGGAATAAACTATTTGTGGCGAGCTTTGATATGGATTTCTTCCAACCCCTTTGTTTACAAACTTGCCCACAGGACCAGAAATGTGGGGACAAGAGAATGGGGAAGTTACTGAAGATTTTGCTGCTTTTGAAACACCAGCAATGGATCCGGCTGGCAGCAGCACAGCCTGGAAGCCCGACGCCAACGGGTCCCTCTGGCTGGGATCCATCCTTCCGAGCCGAATTTGCAATAATCTGAGCAGAAACATCTGGAGTCCCTCGAGCAGGAACGCTCCATCTGCGGCTGGGAGCCATGTGCAACCCAAAAACAGCAAGAGTGCAGCTCCCGGGCCGCAGCCACATCATATGACTGATAGCACAAGGGCTCCCGAGCGATGCGGGCTGGTAGCCATGGGACGCAACGGGCTGAGGCTGCTGAGTCACAGCGGGACCCCTGCCAGGCCCAGCTCCACGCCGCAGCAGAGGGGAGGACCCCAGAAGAGAACCACGGCTGGTGCTGTGCAGGGGATATGTGGATCTTGAGAGGGTTCTTGGTCACTTTTGATAAGCGCCTTGTGCAGCACGAGCTCAGGAAGGCGTCCGTCCCAGCAGCAAGGTGAAGTCCCAGCTTTCCTTCCTTCCTGGGAATGCACCGAGACCTCCACAGCTTGTTCTGGATGTGTTTTTTCCATGAAGCTCTGGCTACCCGGGAGCAAGACTGCCCTGCACGCTGCAAGCGGTGCAAATTTGCCCTGAAAACTTGAACACAGGTTCTCCAACCCACCCTGCTTCACCCAGCGATGTCTGCACGCATGACTTCCTTCTCCGAGGATAATTTACTGCATTCCCTGGTCTGCGGGCTGCAGATTGAACCCACGATGTATGATGAACATCGAAGACAAGGGAAGTACAGAGACAGCTTTGTTACGACTTCGCTGCCAGCTTTACCGTCCTCCTGCTCTTAGCAGCAACCTGTTATCTGCGTGGTCCACACACCGGGCTGCCAGACATCTGCAAATCCCAAAGAACCGCAGCTTCACACAGCTCCGTGCGCCGCCTCCGATAATCCTGGACAGACAGACGGGCTGTGCAAGGACATAAAAACCCTGCAAGCTTGGGCTGGAGGTCCGTGATTACCATCCCAGATGTGCTGGATTCCCTACACGCATGATCTGCACGTGTGAAGCGTTTGGGATGTGCCAGGCGCTGCTGCATGAGCAACGTTAACTGTTCCTGTGCATGGCCAAGGAGAATTTTTAGGGCCTCCCTGGGGAGCTCAGCACAACAAACTGGTCTGCTTTTGCCCGAACCTCTCAGCACCTCTGCTAACATCCCTTTTAGCTGCACGCCTGCCTGTTTAAAGCCTCAGCCATCCCCCAGGACCTGTGCACGCATTGGGGCATCCCCACGCAGCTCCCCAGCCCCAAAACCAAACCCATGGGACGCGGCAGGAGCTGCAGGGACCTGCTCCTCCCCGCACAGGTACAGCCCAAGGTCAGCCCCACACGTGTGGCAGCACGGACACAGGCTCTTGGCCAGCCCTTGGCCTCCTCCTGGCTCTAATAAACAAGGTTTAATTAACCCCAGCGCCCACGGCCCATGCAGCCCAGCTCCGTCCTTACCTCGGGGGACCTCACTGCGTTCTGGAAGACGGCGTAGGCAATGATTGAGCTGGAACCTGTAACACTGACAAAACAAAGCCTGCGTTGGCACGGGGGGGCTGGCTGGGACCAGCAGTTTTCTTTTTTTCTTTTTTTTTTCTTTTTTTTCGTTTTTTTCCCAAAAAAAGCCGTCACGCCACCACCACCTCCGTCCAGCCGGTACCTGAGCATGGCCATGGTGAACTGGATCCACTGCAGAGCCGAGTACACCTGGGGGACACGGAGGGACACGGGGGCGCTGTCAGGGACCTCCTGCGGCCCCCCCACGGCCCCACGGAGCCCACGGGGAGCCCACGGGGAACCCACGGGGGGCCCACGGGGGGCCGGGACCGAGCCCACGGGACCCGGCAGGGAGGGGACGGAGGGGACAGAGCTCGCTCACCTCCTGCCAGCCCCCGTCCAGCCGGGACGATGTCGCCGGGAGGGCCATGGGCACCCACCGGGGACCCACCGGGGACCCACCGCAGCCGCCGCCTCGCCGCTCCCGGGGCTCCGCGCCCCGCCCGCGCCCCGCCCCGGGGCCACACCGAGCCCGGCCCGCCCCGGGGCCAGCCCCCAGCGCTCGGGGGCGGCTGAAGGGGAGCGAGCCGGGGGCGGTGGCGGCGGAGCCCCCGCGGGAGCTTCGGCTCCGGTCCCGGTAACGCCGCGGGGCTCCCGGGGAGACAAGCGGTGTTGGTGGAGTCACCCCTCCAGCAGCCGACCCGAGGCGACCCTGCTTAGCTTCGCCACGCCGCCGCGCCTCGCAGCGCCACCGGCGGGCGCCGGAGGGCGGGAACGGCTGAGGGGCCGGGGGCGGCCGCCGCGGTCTCCTCAGGAGCCTCCACCCCGCTCCACCCCCCTCAGCCTTTGCCTTCTCCCTGACCCCCAAAACCAGCAGCAGTTTCTTTAGAAAGCAGTTGAAGCGTCAGCTATTAATTGGAACCGGTTTATTTTTATTATTATTAATTATTATTATTACAGCATTTTTAATACACTTCACCTTGCAGCAATGTCTGCTCCTTGAGATTCAAAAGGCAGCAAAGCTCCCTCAGAAATGAGTTTTGCCGAGCTTGGAAGCGGAGCCTTGAGGCAGAAGGCGCAGCAGGTGTTCCTCTCAGCCTGGGGCCCTGATCAGCAGCCGCCTGAGCTCCACACAGCAAGGACAGCACCCACAGCACCTGCTTGCCTGATCCCTGGGCCAGGTACCTCCATTAAAGCAGGTGGAGCTTTTAAGGAATTAATACTTTTGCTTCCCGTCACAAGACCTCGTTTTCAAACACTTAAAACTCTGCCAAATGCTGTTGAAGCTTTAGTTTGAGTGCCATTCACTTCTGAAGACCAGGTTGGAGAAGGTATTTCATTCACGTTGACTACTGTTTGCAACTTTTCAATGTATTTGTCTCCCTTTCTTCTGAATTGGGGAGATGAAGACTGGTCAGGAAGAACAGGCAAAAAGCACAGACACTGACGTCCTTTTCATGGGGAAGCTCACCTGAATTTACCTCATCAGCCTCTGAAAAAGCCCGTTTTTGCACTGGCGAGTCTCCTTGTAACAGCACCTCGAGGTGATCTGCCCTTGCACTGTGCTCGCTCAGCCCAAACATCGTGACGGGGCTCAGGAGGATGCTTGCTGACAGGAGATGCAGGGCGAGTTCGGAGGGCAGAGAACCTGGCTTCACTTCACCTGGGGGCTGCCCAAGGCAACCAGAGACAGGAGCCACTGGAGGAGAAGGCAGAAAGAGGAAACTGCGGGTCTCTCGGTCAACAGCAGGTAAGAAAAGCAAGACTGGGGTAAGAAGCCCTACTGGGAAGGCAAAAGGTAGGATGAGGGGGAAAGGGCATAAAACCCAAGGGCACTAAAACCAGGGGAAGGTAGGGACAGGGGCGTCAAGTCTGTACCTTTTAAAGCCCGTAAGATAGAATGTGGGACTGAATTTTGTTATTTGTTTGCCAGGGAACACCTGTAAAAACCACCAGGAATGTGCCTCAGGCCAATCTAGTATTTTTTTTTTTTTGGTCTACTTTAACACTGTTATTTAATGATATTACACAATACTGGGAGCTTGCTTTAAGGTGATTTTCCCAACATTTAGAATACTGTATTTTTAAGGAATGGCTCGATTTTATAGCTGACGATATCAGAAGGAAATCTGCTGCTCTCTTGAAGACAGCGGGAAGTTTTCTTGCATAAGGAGAACTGGTTAGGACTCTCGACAGTGTTTCACAGCTTGTACAAAGTTATCCAACATATTAGAGCTCATCTTTTTCGTTATTCTTCTTCAGGAAAGAAGCAAGGATATTGAGGCTTTTCTGGAGCTCCTCCTTTTTTCCATCACTCATTTTGTTCTTCTCGATCAGTTTCGTGATTCGGACGACTTCATTAGCAGCAAACTCTTCTCCCTGCTCCAGTATCTTGCTCATAATTTTCAAGTATTGCTCAGCTGACTTCTTCTCAGTTTCTTTTGCTTTTTCTAAGCTTTGTTGCCCCTTTTTCAGGAGGGACTGCCGCTCTGACTTTTCGGTGGTACTCACAAACTTGCTGGCCAGCATGTCATACTCCTTCAGGCAGCCTGGCATCCCCAGATAGATACCACTACTCTTCAGCCAGCGCTGAATAGCCCCGGCTTTAATTTGGCCAGTGTAAGGTAAAGGATTGTCAAAGTCACCATCCCGAAACAAGTAAAAAATAGGGAACTTTTCCTTATCCATCTTGTACTTTTCACCCAGGTCAGTGTTCAGTTTATCACCATAATCTGTCAAGAGAAAACAAAACAGAGAAAAACACAGTATATTAGCCTAATGCAAAAATATAATTTAGGATTCTCTCGTATACAGACTGACAAATATTTGTCTCCAGAGTTGCAACAATGCCTAATAACCTCTTTGCCAGGAAATGCCATACACTGAAACAAAAACACTCCAGAAAATCATTTGGGCAAGGCAAGCCATCATTACGTTTTCCCAAGAAAAATACAAGATTCTAATGATACTTTTCTTTGACTGTTAGCACAAAACCTCTAGGAACAAACCCAGTTATTGTTATGGGAAATTAATTGTGATTTTTTCCTCCTTGTTTTGTTTTGTCCTTTGATATTACAGTTAGATGGATTCTTTTTTCCTGGTCTATGTGCAGAGAGCACACCCTTGTATTTTAGTTCTGACAGCATTCCAAGCAACGGGATGTTTTTACTTCTCACATAAATTCCATTTATTCTTGAGGACAAAAAACATAACTCAAGGGATGTCAACCATGCTGCCTGGGTAAACCAACGTGTGCTTAGCAATGTCAGTGTGGTTCAACTTTCCAGTTAGGCAATTTCTGTGGGCTTAAATCCTTAATTCTACCTGCAAAGCAAGAACGAGTAAGGTGGCAGTGAGCCATTCCTCATTGCTTTCCCACTGAAGTCAACAACAAAACGCCAGCTTACGCCAGCCACGGTGCAACAACCGCTTTCTGAGCCTTATCAGCAGCAAATACAGGGTTTGCTACAATTAATTAATCATATCGCTTTGATTTGTTTGACCAGGCTGATGGCTAAAACCCAGTTCTTGCGGGGTCTGGTCCCTGAAAATGGATGAAAAGGTTTATTTCAGGAACAAAAAAAAAAAAGGAAGGAAGAAAAGTGCTGTGAAGGAGGAGGGTGGCACCCACTGGAGCCGTGGGCTGCCTTGCTTCATTAACCAGCCGACAGCAGAGCGCAGCACTCCCACGCTCGCTGCAGGAGGTGACGGCGGAGCTCTGCTACCAGCCAGGGCAGGGCCACTCGGTGTTTCGGTCTGACAGCACCGTGTCAATCTCGTCTCCCACTACCAGAATTACCTCAGAGCCTATTTTGAGCAGAGACTGCAGCGGGTTTTACTTTCTCGCCACCAACCTGTAGTGTACGAATCTGTTCAGAGCTCCTCACCTGATATCCCCACTTCAGCCACCAGAAGATCTTCACTGGAGCCTGAGCTCTCTGCCAGCTTTTTGAACTCATCTTGTTTCTCACCGTAAGGATATTGTGTATCAAATTTCACCAGGACAAACTTATGCTTTGGAATTACCTAAAATAAGAAAAAAAAAAGACAAAACTTAAAATTTCAGGTTTGAGCAATCTACAAGCCACCTAAGGTTGTTTTAGCTCTTTCATATTTTCCTGCGCAACGAGTAGGTGCAGAGGGAGATGGAAATTTTTTAATTATAGCCTTTGAAAAGTGACTCACTGCAGCGTGAGCGAAAACTGCATGTACGTATCCCTATAGCAGATGATAACGATGGTACACGATCGGTTCGGAGGGATCTGATAACGGCTTTAATTATACATGATTTGCTTATTGTAAACCTGATCGGCATCTTGGAAGCAAGTCAGTGAAGACTTCCAGGGGGATGTTAGGAGGTTGGAGGACAAATCTAAGGCCGTTCTGAAGCGTCCCAGCACGAGAGCCGCAGCTCAAAGCGGAGGTACGGACAGCAGCGGAAACGCTGCTCTGGTTCAGTACACAGCATTGGTGTTTAATCGATTCCTCTCCACTTCTGCCGTTGCTTTTGAATTTAGCTCTGCTAAATGAGCTCGGCCGTGAATCTGCCACCTGCTTTGGGCTCTGTTCTGCCCCCAGGAGAAGACCTTGCAACATCTTTTTTTTCTAGTGAGCACAACCGGCTCGCAGCGCAGGTCCCCGCCTACACAGCGCCCTGCGAGTGCTGCTCAAGCAGGGACACAGCAGCTGCTTGCACCACTTCACGAGCCTCCAGCTCAGGGCCTGTTGATCTCGCAGCTTATTTACTGTCCTTGTATGAAGCAAACGCAGCGTGTTACAGCTCTGACATTTCTGCCGGTCTCTTCAAGCTCCTCTTGCAGCACACTGCCAATTACTTCAACTTCTCCTCCTAAGGAGCTAAGGGCTGTAGAACGCAGTAGCCTTAAAACACCAAAAAGGGTTTGTCACAGCAGAAAAATCAGGAGGGGGCTGGCGTGTGGCAAGAGCTATTTGCTCATGTCAGGGCAGTTTGTTCAGGGCAGACGCTTTTTAAACAGCTCAGCTGATCATTGTCTCTCCTGCCCGTGTTGCTAAAGTGCCCGCGCTGATCCTGCAATTCGATGGCTCCCTTTCGACAGGCTCTTCTCTGCCTCCCTACCACCCAGCTGTGCCATCCTTCCCAGCACTGGTCACTGCTGAATTAAAAACCCTTCCAGGCTCTTGGAAGACGCTTTCAAAGCGATTTTTTGGGGAAAAAAAATAAAGAATAAGGACAAAACCCCCAACCAAGTATGCAACCCTGACAGCAGCCATCTGCTCCGTCTGACCCTTCTGCTCCATCCACACAAACCCCAGGGACATGGCTCAGAGCGGGGACCACCCGAGGATCGCTTCGCCGTGCACGGGGGGCGCAGGGCAGGGGCCGGGAGGCGGCGGCGCCGCTCCGCCCGCAGGGAGCCGAACCCCGCCGGGCCCCGAGCCCCGCACGGAGCCGCCGGCCTCGCTGAGCCCCCCGCGGCCCCGGCTCCACTTGGAGCACGCCTATTGGCTGCCCACCTCCCCTGCCGCTTTCCCATTGGCTGCTCACCGCCACTGCCGCTCTGCCATTGGCTGATCCCGGATCCTCAGCCATCCCGCGAGCCCCGCGCCGCGCCGGCTCTACCCCGGCTGCCCCCTCTCCGCGCCCCCCGGTCCCCCCCACCCCAACCGCGGCTCCTTCCCCCGGGCCCCCCGCGGCAGCCCCGCGGTGCTCAGGGCCGGAGCGCGGCTCTCCCTGCACGGCCGCGCCCCCCACCTCCCCCCCCGAGCTCCCCCGCGCGGGCCCAGCAGCCCCCCGGCGGTACCTTGTAGAAGGTGAGCGAGTCGAGGGGCACGGAGCCCTTGGTGTGCAGGGCGCGGCTGCCGGGCAGCGCCAGGCCCAGCAGGCAGCCGAGGAGCAGGGAGCCGGCGGCGGCCGCCGCAGCCATGGCGGAGAGCGGAGGGAGTGGGGCGGCGGTCACGTGGCCGTGCGGAGCGCCCGCCGCCGCCGCCGCCACCGGGGCCCGGCCCCCCCCCGCCCCGGGCTGCGGGTGGCCGGAGGGGAGCAGGGGCACGGGGGGGGGGGTTCAGGTGCAGGCAGGCGGCTCTGAGCGGCCCCGGTGGGCACAGCGCTTTGAGGGGAGCTCTAGGGCTTTCCCGTGTCCTCAGCTAAAGGTAGGACATAAAGCAGAAAAAGCCTGAGCAGCAGCGACAGAGGAGCATGGCAAAGAGGAACCATGAAGACAAAGAGCCATCAACCCCCTCCCTTGAGCAGGCAGCGCTTCGAACCCCGACCACATGCAGAAAGCTGCATTTTTCTCCCCCTGCTTTCTCTTTATTCAGCCCAGGTAACTTGATTTTCTCCTTGCCCAGCACCAGAACATCCAGCTTCACCAAGAAGCTGACCGTGGATAAGAGCATAGACAAGCACTATGGTTACATCCCGAGCATCCAGATGGAAAAATGAAAGAGGCAGCAAGACTGATTCGTAACGAAACTGACTTTTATATAAATTATAAACCCATCCAGTTTAAAGCAGATCGTTTGCAGTTGTGTCACTTAAGTCCGTAGAAGGCTGAGGCATACGTATCTTCTACAGTCATAAATTACAATGAATAATCAAGGAAGAGAAAGTTCAGATAAGGCTGCAGATACAACAAAAAAAATCCCGTTTGAGATTACTAACGGTTAAAATAACACCATGATTATCAATGATCGCAAAATATAAATGCAACTCTCGAACAGTTAAAATTGGTAAAAAGTACAAAAATGAGGGGGAACACAAACAGGCATTGTACATTTTCTTCGGTATGTAGACAAAGCAGGGTAAGAGATTTCTGACCTTCATCTACATTAGATACCAACTTAAAGCAAAGAGGTGAGGAAATCTGTAAAAGGATCGTGGCTCATGATCCCAGTAGTATAAAAGCAGTATTTTTTTCAGTCTGTAAACAGTAGTCTTGGTAGCTTTTTCTAAGTATGTTTTTCAATTCATCATCAAAACCAAACCAAAACAAACAAAAAACAAACCCCAAGAGTGGAAAAGGGTGAACAGCAGCAATGGTTGATAGCTTGAACTTCTTACCAAGTCCCAGGGGGACACATTCTGGAAGGGAAATGCTCTTTTGTAAGAAATATATAATATATTTAACTGTACACAATTTATAAGGAGAGAGAAATTCTCCCTCTCCCTCAAGCAAGCCCCCAAATAATCGGTACACAGTCATTTTTGCACCCCCACTGACTCCTCCCAGAGAGGAGTTACAGCTTGTGATGAGATGGCGTCTGGTTTATAAAACACTGAGTGAACCAAGTTGTATTTGACAAGTTTATCATTCACCTGTGGCCAGACCTGGAAACGGAACAGCAGGCAACACACACAGTCAGCATTCCCCCCGTGCTGGTTGTGGATGGGCTGAGGGAGCAGCCACCAGAGCTGAGCCCTGCTGTCATCTCTTCTCAGGCTTCGCTTCAGACAATGCACATCCCCTCCCTCACCTCCCCCCAGCAATTTCAATTCTGCTTTTAAGGGAACTGATGCAGAAATTTTTTTTTTTTTTTGAACAAGTTCTGCTTTCTGGCCCACAGGGTTTTAAAAGCTTGGTTATATTAACCCTGCCTCACTTTTGTCGCTGTTCTTATTGATACAACTGGTCAAGTTCAGCCTGTCGCAGCAGCAGTGCAAGGAAATTCCAGCAGAAGTCAGCCCCTGGACGAGGATGCTGTGTCAACTCTGCATTCAGTGCTGGTGTTTGCATGAAGCCCTACCTACATTTACACTGCCACAGGGAGGGGATGGGACAGGAACATCAGCAGTGGCAATTTGTCTCCTTTAACGAAAACGGGCAGTGCAGATTTCTGGCTCAGTGCTTCTCTGTGAATTGCATAATCTCAGCACGTACCCTACACATTTCAAAGCATCAGTGTCAGTCATCAGTCTTGCTTTAATTTAAGGAACACACCCTTCTTTCAAAAATGGTATTTCTATACAACGTATAAGACAGTTCAGTTTGTTCAGGAAAAGGATTACTCTAAAACAGACTTTAACACGTTTTGGTATTCCTCCAGCCCAGAGCACTTACCAGACATCGCAGTTAAACCATGAGGACATCCCTTACAATTTAGACAACCTGCAGACAGCCTTCTTTCCCTTTCAGGATGGGGCAAAAGCAAAACTAAATCCAGCAAGAGCAGCAATGTGAATTTTTTTTTTTACACAGGGGATTTATTTTAAAAAAATACTCTCATCAACATTCTAGCATTTCTAACAAAACATATTCGGAAGAGATGACAAAAGTAGGATTGTCAGCTCTCTTAGAACTTTAAATATAGGCTTCAGTTACTAGCTGCTTTAGATCAGAAGATGAGGAATCTGTTGAAGTCCGACCTGTCCCTCGGATTGTAGGTGCAACGTGTACTTTTTTGCCTACCAGTTTTAGGCTGCATTGCTCCTTTAGAATGAAAAAAAAAAAAAAAAAACAGCAGAAATGCAGATTCAGAAGGAGCAGATGATGCAATTGCACTTTCTAAGAGAATGCCTAACGAGCTAGTACTCGAATAATCAAAGATCAACTGCAAAAAGCAAGCATACAGTTATAAAAAGTATTCTCAGCCTCATACCACAGCGGAAGCAAAAGTTACCTCTGCCAACTTAAAACCAAAGCCAACAGGATTTAATTTCTATGAAAATATTTAAGTCTTAAAGTTTTGGTAATCTAAATACACTTCTTTAGAAGTCATGATGATTGCTGCTTTACATTAAATTGACATGAAATTAGAACGCAGTGTCAGACTTCACTGCAGCTATTATATACATGGTCTCTGGTTTTGTCTTTTTTTTTTTTTTCCTGAAACTCTAATTCCCATCTCTTTCGAGAACTTAACGGCCAAGTTTGCTCCTCATCAGCTCTGCAGTTTTTCTGAACACAAAACCACCCCTTTCCTCCAGCAGCTGGCTCCACGCTCAGCCCTTAGCGCAACGAGGCACGGCTCGCTCCCACCCTACAACGGAAGGCTGGGCAATGCGGGAAGGCTGCGTGCAAGGGGGGATTCCCCCAGTGCAGCCTCGCACCCCCCTGCTGGACCAACCCCCGAATTCGGTAGGACCAGGTGGCTTGTGGACAAAATAGGCAGCTCCAAAACTGGCTTGTTTCATCGGGTGGCTGAATGCGGGCATCTACGATTTCTGCATTTCTAAGGCAAGGACCATACAAAAATTATAAACACTGTATGGTGATGAAAATACAACTCCTTTGAGATATATACTTTACACTGGATTTCTATTGCTGCTTCTAAAGACCATCTCCAGTTGTTTCTAGAGATCAAAAGGGAAGAAAGTTAAATTTTCTCCTGTTGCAATATACTTATGAACATGTATAAAAAGTGGTCAAACCCCGAGAAGGGTCCCTGCTTCTTGTTTATATACAATAATTTAAGTCAGCTGAATACATCTGTAATACCTAGAAAAACTGTTTTATGATTTTAAGTCCTTCATGCATTATGAGGAAGTTCTGGATTAAAGTGATGGTATATCGGATGTTGCTTCTGTCTGGGACTCTGGTGTCACTCCCCTGTGGAGTCTGTCAAAGATTTCTCAAATCTTTAGTTTTTTAATAGTGTCAAGTCTCTTTTTCAGCAGCTCTCCAATTTCCTGAACTGAGTGATGGTAACTGCTCTGGACCTTTCCTTGCACAGTCTTTGTAAACTTTTTTTCTTCCTGCAAAATGCAAAAGAGAAACCATTCACTCAATAGCAATTGTTTGAATTCTATGATCAAACATCCCATACCATCTCAGCAAACACCAAGAAGAATTTAATTAGGATCATAGTAAGTTTACCAAGGGAATGTCATCAGGGAAGAGTAAGTAGCACCTGGGTCAGCACCAGTAATTCCTACACATACCGGGATTCCCCAGACAGGTCTGGTAATGTTATCATTTCTTCAACAGCTCTGCAAACTCTCTCACGTGAAATTTATGGCTGAAATTGAGGGTGCATGTAGCACTTTGAGTCAAAATTTATTAGAGAATTCCTTATATGGAGAGCTGAACTCAGACAGCAAATGAATGCTGACCACCTAACGATCTTACACCAAATTCCAGAAGCACGATTGAGTCACACTGGATTCACTATCACCCATTCTGCAGCACTGGTGTACCCTGTCCTTCCCAAAGGGATTAAATTCCCTTCCACATGCAGTTTTCTATTACCCCGAACTAAGGGGCTTTTGGGAGGATCACCATCATGAGACATTGTTTGCATCGAAGGGCAGCAGCCAAAACCACTGTCCTGTCAAGAGGTGACTTGCTACCAGGATGTCTTTTGCAGACTCTTTTATAGATGTTAATCGGGAAAGCCCGAGTGCCTTCTGATGCAGGAAAAGTCTCACATCAGCAGCAAGTTTTGGCAGGCACATCGCCAGTAACGCTCCATTCCTGAATCACAGCAGAATTTTCACTAACACTTGTACCCAAGTACTTTTTGAAAGCACTTTTCAGTTCTAAACACATTGGGCTGCAAACACAGTCCTGGCTCTGAGAAGAGCTACACATATTGCCTGGACCTGGGTTTACTGTGACATCAAAAACAAATGGAACAGGAACCACGAATAAGAATAGAAACCATGAATAAACACAGGAAAAGTCAGACTCCCACAGGTGCTTCTGCTCAACTCTATGTGAATCTAATCTGTGGATTTTGTGAGTCTGCCTTGTGCAGCAATTTGATGCCTTGCATGAGAGAAGGAATATGGAGGAATTTGCTGACTCAAGGAACAGAATAATCACAAAGATCTCAACAATTACCTGAAAACAACTTAGTCCTCTAAAGCTGAAACTTTTGATATTAAGATCATGTACTTTTAATTTTTATTCAAATTTACAAGAAGTACAGTCTAAGGAATTTCCTTGCTTTATCAGTTCTCTTTTTATTTAAGTACATATATTTTATATTTTTATATATACTTCTGATGCTTCTACATCAGTCTATAACAAGACAAGGGAAATTATCTTAAAAAGTCAATCTTCCTCACTAGGCCTGTGTTTCACATGTTTAAATTTGGCATGAGGCTTGGCACGCACACTGCCTATTTCTCCTGTTTTTGGTTTTCCCTACACAGCCAAGAGTGGGGAAAGAAAGTTGCCACTCATTTTTCCATAAAGATCAACTAAATGTTACCAGGGAAGTGACTAATCTGCAGTATGAGAATCTCAAAAGTTTCCCAGAATAAGTATTTTGCATCCCTTATGGCATACTAAGAGACAGATGAACAGAATAAGTCACATCACAGACAAAAATAATGTTAAAACTTAAGATTTTCTTCACTATCATATAAAATGAAACTAATTAAAAATCCTTGTGTTTAAATCCCATTTGTTAAGATTATTCTGCATAGGGATCAGCTGAGGAAAAGTCACTTAGCCAGATGACAAACTATAAAAAACTTATTTCCCACTCCAAAACTCAATGTGGTCCCTCATACCTGGTTAACAGTGATTAAGTCAATCCTAACAGGTTTCTGTCTGTCACACAAGTATACAGAGCACTCAAAGAGCAATGCAAGTTCTTACCTGTAAAAGCAGAGTGTCCTTGAGGGACAACTCTTCAAGTTTTAGTGCAGTCAGAATTATTTCAAGCCCTTTGATGTGATCTATTACATTGGAAGTTAACGTCTGTAGTTCGGTAACATAGTCCAGGAAGTGTGTAAAAACAGGTGGCTATAAAAACAAAAACATACTTTTAATTTATAAATACATGTTAATGCCTCTTCAAATGACTATCCTGTATTACAACTCACTTCATAACACCTATCATTGCTAAACACCTCCTCCCCCACAGCGTTGCTAAACTTAAACCTACCTACCCAGAGAAACACTATCAGTTAACTACCTTACTGTAGCACGTTCAGGCAAGAAAGGCCTGTGATAATCTAAGCTGTATTTCTCATTAAAAAGCTCTCATGATAGCAAGTGCGCCACATCTCTGACATTTGATTTTAAACAGAAAAGGAATTAAAAAAAATCAGTAAACTGAACTCTAATTTACATCAGACTCTACAAGAGAAAAAGTTTATGCAAAACTGTTGTCTATCCTGATTTTTCTTTCAGTGTAAATAACCGGATTGAGGGATGGGAGTAGAAGAGAAAAAGGTATATTGTCTACCATAGCTACACTGCTTTCTTTTTTTTTCTTCTTCTTTTTTTGCAGGTTGGATTTAAAAGGTCGGAGGACACTGTCACAGTAACTTGATACCCACAGGGTGATGGAGATCGTCTGGAAAAAGAGGTACAAGTGTGTTACAAGTTGCATTTACTTTACAAAGTGGCTCCTAAACTTATTTTACTGTACTCCTAGTGAAAAGACTCAGAGTAGTCAGAATATGCAAAAGCTCCACTTTCATAACTGACTGAGATCGAAGAATTTTCAGTGTGTTTTAGTCCCAACATTCCCACTCTAAAGTACTCCAAAATTTCCGTTTTCCAACAAAGAAAATAATACCTCAACAAAGAAGACTAAGTTTTCTAACAGGTTTGGCTGAGTTTTCAAGGTGCCATCTCTGACTTCAATCAAGTCACCTTTACATTTATTGAACAAGTCTGAAAAGAAAAAAAAGAGAAGCCTTATTTAGTACATGCAGATCAACTTAAATGCTCATTTTCTGTGCACCACACATCTCAGTGTCATTATCAGTCCTCTGATAGCTTTGCATGCTAAGTTGTTAGGGATAAATTTGGCCAAAGCCTCTCAAGAAGGTCTAGCTGTAAAGTTTCCTCTAAACTGTATTTCATTACAATGGTATCTCCACACCACGCTTGGACCAAATATCAGGGAGACAACTGTTGCTAAGACTAAGCTGTAATGTAGTGAAATGACAGAGCATAAAGACATCTGTGGCATGCAACAACTTCATGATCAAACAAGCCAAAGGGATGCTCAGCCTTTCTTTCAAGCACATTTCAAAAGGGTCTGCAGATGCGTTAATGCATTTTTATGTATTTGCAGCACACTCAGGACCTTGTAACATGAAGCAGTAACTACCGCTACTTATTCTTGGGTTACTACTTACCTGTTAGTCGTTCTATTAAAGACTTGAAACTATTCCCTATCCTCTCCTGGATTTCTGCTGAATCTTCTGAAAAGAAAATAAAAACAAGTGAATAAAAGTAGTTCTAAACTACAAGTTCTGCATTTTCTGCTTTCAGAAAACCAAGAAGCATTTAAATGTAATTTAGTGTTAGCAGTGAAAAGCCAATGCAACTGCTTTCAAAGAGTATCTTGTATTATATCAACATACACAGCACAAAAATGAAGAGTCCGATAAAACACTAAATTAAAGTGTCATCTCCAAGACAAGCATCATTCAAAAATTAACACACAAGTAACAGTTTGGGTCCACATGATCCAATGCCTAGCAGTTTTCAGACTAAGTGGAGACATATCACACCCTCCCACCACACATCGTGACAATCTGGTTACACCCCTGCCCCTCAAACACTTACCTAAGCCATTGGTATCTAGTTCATAAATATCACTAACAAGATAAAACAAGCTAGTCTGGCATTGACAGCTGCCATTACTGAAGAAGCCAGCCATTCGGGTAGGAGGAGGGCCAAGGACAGGATACTAGGCAAGAAGCAAAGAAAAAGATAAAGGTGTTGCAGCTTTTCCTTATCCAGAACACAGTGTTTGCCTCTGGCACATCTCTCAGTCAGATTCATACACTACAAACTCAGGGTCAGTTAAGTGCATTCTGCAGCCTGCTGGACGTTACCAGATGCATTCAGTTTCTCTGCTTGCATTCACGTTCATTTAATATTTGAGGATAGCTTTTTCCTTAATGGGTACCTGAATTTTTTGTTCTAGAAACTTCTTCCCTGAATCCACTGCCGCTTCCAGCTGCTGAAGCAGAGATCGAATTGTATCAATCTTGGATGAGACGCCGTTCTCTGCAGTCTTTTCAGAGTTCTTTGGTTGAATAGTGTGACTAAGAGTTGGGAGTCCGCTTACTAGCCTTAAAGTTAAAGACCGGATTCGCAACCACACGGTTTCTTCTTCCAGTGAGAGTTTCCTATGTTCTTCAGAAATGTCCCTAGAGAAAGGCACCAAACGTTTTCAGGAAAATGCAAAGTTTGCACTCGGGTACAAAAGCCTATCCCAAAGTTATTGAATAATGCATTAAGAGGAAGAAGTGGTCAGAAATTCAGAAAATTGTATTAATATGTAAAAAGGCAGCACTGCTGGAAGTGATGAATGAATGTTAAGTTTGCAGTTAGCCAGCCTAGAGAACATTTAAGTATGGGTTTTGCCCTGAAAAGATCTCCTTCACCATATGCTATAGAAAAAGGTGCAAGACTGCAGCTGAGAATATTTCTACTCACCTGTCTTTTGGATCCCAGTTAAACAGGACTGTCAGGTCTCTGTTGTCACGCAAATCTTTCCACGGAATGTCATCCTCTTCTGGACTCAGACTCATGGACTTTATACTTTCTTCTAAACTGGTTGATCTGTACGTAAAGGGCAAGTAACATGAAATCACACATCTGAGCACTGGAAACGAAAATAACAGCTAACTAACAGACCACATTCTCTCAACTCTTCAGGTGTCAGCAACGTTACACACAGTACAAAGATGCTGAAGGAGACAGCAACGAAGAGAGCAGCTTTCACTTTCTGCCACAAGTGCAACTTACTAAGGTATCATTTAGCCACTGTTTACTTATGCATAAGTCTTCATTTTTTCCCTGTGCAAGGTATTATACACTCACTGCTGCTGTACTTACATATTTGCTTCAAGTAAGAGGTCTAACAACATCCGTTCTGTACGAACTTGCGCAAAGTGAAGGGAAGAATTCAGCCGGTTTCTAAATGCAATGAATTCCGGGATCTTCTCAAACGCGCCGTACTTGTAGGCTTGAATGATATATTCTGAGGTCTACAAGAAAACACACACCAGCTCTGTATTAGTTACTTCTATAAATTCAAGACTAGTTTAACAAAGGTCACTGCCAAGAAATTGCATTTCTGTGGCTTTCATTAACCCAGAGGTACAGAATCAGGCAGATACTCAGACCCTGGGAGAAGCCTGTAGCTTTGCTGCTTTAATTTAATAATGCTCAGCCACTCCACTAGGTAGTGTTATTTGGTAACCAGACCAACACTGAACAAGATCAAGTTCCTGTTGCCACAAACTGAAAGATACTTATAGATGGAGAGAGATGATTTTAGAAGGTTATTTATTTATTTTAAAGAAAGATTCATTTTTCAAATCATTATTTCATTTTAAGAAGTACTTTCAGACAAAATAAATACATCCCAGGTTTCCTGGAATTGACTTGGATGTGCATCACATATTACCACAACACAGATTAAAAAAATTACTCACACATTTTTTTGTTTCTTTTTTTATTAGATTTTTAATACAGTATCACAAAATAACATCACAAAGCACATACATATTACAATACAGGCTAAGCACCAAAGGAAACTATCAGGGTCCATAAGACAGATTGCTTCCCTTCTGATGAAATGCAGCTATACAAGGAACACAACTAATATTTCACCTAAGTCCAAGCAATCTCCAGGAGGAGATTTATGTGATGAAGGAGCCCCAAACAAGCACCATATTTCAACAAAAATTCCTAACTGCATAGACGGAGTGAACAATTTATGCTCCCAGTCAAGACAGATGGCTGTCTTTTTAAATCAGAATCACTCCACGAGTGAGAAATTCTGGCAAATCAAATATTTTCTTCTGAATATGACTATGGAACGCACTGAAGATGAGAGGCACCAAAAAGACCCCTGGGCAATGGAAATCTGTACTATACAAGCTCAACCTGTCGGAAAGTCTCACAGACTGCAAGCTAGCACTCACAAATAAAAGCGACCTTTTTTTTTTTTTTTCCTCCCTCCAAAATACAAAATGTCCTCTAGGTAGCTCTGTCTTTCTCCTAAGCAATTTGGTTATTTGTACTGTATGAAAAAAATATGCCAAATATTCAGCAACATACCCTCTGATATACAGCCTTGCAGAGTTCATTGTCAGGCTACGGGATTGCGCTATGGTAGCTAATTCAACTGCATCGACGTGGTTTTTATATCCCCATAGGACACGTTGGTGCTCTGTTTGCCTGCAGTATCTGGAGAAATTAAAGACGGACGGACACAAGAAAATTAGAGAGATTACTTGTGATTCTGCATATTTAAAGGAGGACTATCTTGAGAAGGATGAAATTGCCTTTTTAGCATTGGCCAAATATAGCAATACCGTCTTCTCTCTCCTCCCTGTCCTTGGCATACTCTCCCAGAGCAAAAATATTATGTCAGGATTGCACAGCAGCTTAGATGGCTGCTACTTATGGGACCCACTCTTAACTGGATTCACTTCAGACCGTTAAGTTCACCAAGTCAGAAGGAAAATCTACTTATCCAAAGCAATCCCTTTGAATCAGTAGCTTTATTTTCTATACCAGATTTGCTCACACCCCATACTTCCTGCTCTAAGCAGAGCCCATGCACAGAACACACGGGACATGTTCTCTATGCTGTAGCAGACATTCCAGCTAGCATCAACATCACCCTAAAGGGGCAGGCAGCAGCTGAAATCAGGCAGGAAGGTAACCTTGAAAGGACAGTCCTCCGTTAACACTGCAGTTAGATACTGTTATGGGACTTCAATGGGAAGCTGATTATCAGGACCCTAAGCATGAAGTAGCAACCCCAGCAGAACCACTGGAGCATGGAAACTGGTGCCATATTCCGACCTTGTGTTACTGGTCAGAATATGTTAAAGAGACATCTTATGGTACAGACCCTGTTTTTTCCCCTCTGTTCTTGACACGCCACCATCTCAGATGGGCAGTGCCCCACACTAAGAATTCTCCTGCAATTTGTATCTCATGGTTATTTTATGGACACTTGCTATTTGCAAACTAACATGGCTTTTGATGAGTTTCCCACTAAAAAGAAGATTCTGAATTCTGTAATCATCCAGAACATGAGAAATTTGGCTCCTCAAGAACAACAATGGCTCACAGTCCTCCGGTTGCAATACTGTCTCCAAGAAGAGACATGACATGAGTGGATTCCTAGAGATGCATCCTTGTCTTGTAGCATGAAGCATTATATGACACTTATTGCATCATTTTCCCTGCTCTTGCAATTTCAGCCTTTTAAGGTGTGGTAGTGAGGCAGGTCGAACAACTCAGGCACCTCTTTTTCAGCATTTCTCAGTTGTTTGTTGAGTAGCATTTTCCTGGCAACAGCACTTGGCACGTGGCTCAGTGGGTCTTTCAGTAGATGTATGCTGAGCTACTGTAGACAGTCAGCTTGTGCTCTTCTAGCATCTTTATTATTCATGCCAAAAAGAATAACCTTCTTCTGCTTCACTCAGTGTTTTCCCTGGAGAGATGATTTCTTGCTGCTTTACAACACAGCGCTCCTAAGCAGACAAATCACATCTGGTAGTTTTTTCAGCTCACTTTTTTCACCTGGCACACTGCAGTGAAACATTTTATTTGGACAGTTGGTTCCAGGTACGCTTTTTGTTAAAAAGTCACTCGGTGGATGTTAAACAAGACTGAACAAGTCACTCCTCATTTAAAAAAAAAAAAAAAGCCACAACTTCCAAGAACAGACATCTAGGAGAAAGCTGTCTGGATCCAGAGCTTCACTCCAGCACAACACATCCCACCCAGGAACCCACAGAATCTTAGCAAGTAGAATCAGTGCTTAAACAATCAGCAAGTGAGGGAAGCAGATGAGAGCAAGCTCCAACCTCATGATCCACATGCATCTCTGTGCATCCCCCTCCCTACAGTAAAATTTGTGTCGGACACGGGTCACAGTAACTCAGCAGCTACCTTTCAGGCACAGGTAAATGGCAACTGGTAACTTGTACCTAGGAATAACCTGGGCTGCAGCAGCACAAGGATACTGTTTGAGGGATTACTGTCTAAGCATCCTTACTATTCAGTACAGGCAGCTCTTGTATGTTATCTACTGCTGGGATGGTGCAAAATCAAGTTGTATGACCACTGGCTAAGCTGCCCGCCAAGGCTCTAACTAAAGAGTTGCAATTGGATCCCACCTTTGTTAATTTCAACATAAAGTGAGTATTTTCTTCACCTACCTCTCACAGGAGATCAAACTGTATAACAAATACAGGGACATATTCCCACTCCTCAGAATGGGACTGCCTTGCACGGCTTAGGGAGGTGGACTAGCACTATGCATGTAGTTCCCTACCACTGTTCTGGGCTACAGCTGGTTCTATTTGCCCAGTGCATTTCCATCGAGATTTCAAAAATGAGTTATTTCGTTGTTCCCCTACCCAGCCCATTTTTCATGATTCTATGGGAATGCTGAAACAGAATTGATTTTTCCCGTGAATATAGCTCACAGTGTTCTTCTCAAGTAAGACTAATGACAAGCACAGCTACTAAGCAGCAAGCTACGAGTATGACAGATGTCTAGCTCACAGCACGCATCTTAGGAAGCACCTGATCTCCTGGAGAAAAATTCAGCTACTCTCCTCCCTTGTCTCCTCCATTCCAGTACCAAGGTTCTCATTTAAGACCACTTTCTTTTAATCCACACCACTTTCTGGGGGCAAACTGAACAAAGCAGGTAGCTCCCATTAGTACAAGACCAGGCTTTTGATCCTATCACTTGAAAATAACGCAGTTAGAGTTGTGGGTTCAAAAGTCAGTTCTTCCCCTCTGAAATTCTCCCACCTTGTTCCTTGCGCTTTCGCTACTGTTGATGACAATGTGTTTTCCCCACACTGTGTGCCCACGACAGTCATCCCTAAGACACGCTGCTTCCATGAGTGTGATACAAAGGACTCTGATGCATGCCATCGACATCCTGACCCACCATCCCCAGGGCTGCTGTACGACTTTCCAAAGTCCTGCTGTCATATAACTTTCAGTACTTAGTTACCACATTTCACTTACTTTCTTAAATCACAATCCACTCATTTAGAAGTAATCATACCTTTTTTTTTTTTTTTGAGAAGTATTCGAATTGGTTTGTATAAATAGAAAGGTAAAGAAAAACTCCATCAAACAGTAAATTACAAATTCTTGTATAAACACAAAGTTGCACAAACTATTCCTGTGTTACTACCCACTACAGTTCCGTAAGCCCTCACACAGGACACAATACTGCTGTTAAGGCATTCTCAACATAGCTGCTCTGTTACAAGGATGCAGAAGTTTCATTCAACTTACATCTTTCTGGTTGGAGTGGAAAAACCTGAGTGCAAAATTGCAGGATTGGGATGCAGCAGCGTAATGGCCCAGCGACTCTGCATAGCGTGTCAGAAGATAGCTGCAACACAACACAATGCAAGTCAAACATCAGCACACATGCTGGGGAATCCTTAATTTCAAATCCAGATCTGAACAGGGACCTGCAGCCTACTTCAGCTTTATTGAAGACTCTGGAGACTTAACAGGGGAGCATTCACAACATTCGTGTTAAGATTTAAGCTTTTAACAGTAAAGAAAGGAATTTATTTTTTTCCTAACACAAACAAAAAAAAGACTTCCTCCACCCAGCTTAAGTGAGCATGAACTTATTTAGATACCCACAAACACACTAACCAAGGTGAGGACATTTGGTGTGTTTGCTTTAACTAGCACTCCCAAACTTTGCAATGACATAAGCAGGAACACCTAGCTACAACTGACACCAAGATACACACATTTTACAAGTTTCAAGTTTAGTTAATATTCTCAAGATCCAGAACTGATCAAAATCACCCAGGAAAGATACTCCACTGGTGTGCAGAGCACACCATAGCAGATGTGTCTCACAGAATTCAAGAATGCTTTTACAGAACACTGTGACAGTCTGACAATCTGCTAACTTCCAGTAGGCAAAGACAACGGAAGATATCTCAGGACTGGTTACTGGAGACGACCACCAATTATTCTCAGTATATACTACCCACCCGATGGTGTCGTGCTGTATGTGTTTTGCATCAAGGCTGGAGTAGAGCTCCGCAACAGGTTCAAATGCACCAAGCCTGCAGTAGATTCGAATTAGCAGCAATTTAAACTGAGCATTAGAAGGACTATGAGATAACCCTTCTTCTAAGAAAGTGAGGCACTGCCACACAGCTGTTTCTTCACCTGGGGACAAAGATAAAAACACATGCAGGTATGATCAGGGAGGAACACTTCACACTTACAGCACAATTCACCTTGGCATCAAAGCCTCCCTCCTTATTTTACACTTCTCTCAACATTTAAACGTGGGGATGACATCCATCAGTCACGTTGCTACCCTTAAAACATAGCACCCACCCCAGCATCATAGCTTTCTCTGAAGGAAAGGTGGAGAAGTAACTCTGCACAGGGAATATCCAGCTCAAATCTGCAGAGCACAACCCTCACACGCTGGGGACAGACTCTGGAATTGGGAGACTAATGGGCAGAGCTGATGTGGCAGATAGGAATACTGAAGACAAAGCAGCACATCTCAGCAAACGTCTAGAAGCCAGGGATCCAGAAGACAAAGTATGTCAGGGAGGGAAAGAAATACTCTCAAAACATCTCTGGAATCAGAAGGGAGTTGTCAGCATAACTTGTGCAAAGGGACAGAAAAAAACAGTATCTACGTGGGAAACTTGGAACAAACTCCTGGGGACAGCACTGAGCTGCAACAGTCAGCAGCAAAACTGCCAGGACCTACACAAATGAATCAAAAAATTCCTTTAGAGGTCAGTGATACTAAGCTCAAATGCCAGCTGAACAAGGAAGCTCCTGAAATACCTCACAGTGAAAAAAATACAGAAAGCTACGGGACAAACAAGGCACGTCAGGTACACACTGGCCACAGGGACCCAATCTCCCTACCCCAACCATCCCAGGAAGCATTAAGCGATTTTACAAACATACCTTCCTCTAGCCACAGATCAAGCAGCAGGTGAACTGCAAGCAGACAGTAATAATCTGAAAACTGCAACTCAGTTTTCAAACACGTTTTCCCTAAAAAGAAAAACAAAGTTGCCCTGAGTTGCATAGTTAAAATATTTGTCACTACAGCGCTGTCAGCTGTTTCTCACCTTGCTAGCATTATCAAGTGACACAGCCATCTGACAGATGATTAACCACTGCTTAATTTCTAAAGGAAACTCTGGATTTTATAACTGAAACAACTGTGCACATGCTATATCTCTTCATACATTTTTTTTCTAATTCATTCTGCTTGAAATGCAAAAGCAGCATGTTTTTCTGTCTCAGATTATAGCTCTTTTTTTCTTGGATTCAAACTCCAGATAGAAGCACTGAAAGAAAGCAGCTCTTCAAACAAGTTCTGTTATTTTTCTGGTAATGACGAAATTTCTGTTATGACTTTGAAAAAATTTTCTGGCTACCTCGTACATTGACACTTGATGAAATGATAAAACCCTTCTACAGTTGCAAGATTTAAAAATAAGTATTAACGCCTATATTTTTGTCCTACATACACCAGCGATACAGCCTGGCTTTGCTTAAAGGCACGAGCAACTTTGCAAGCATAGAAATGTGCCACCTGAGCTACACAGAACGCCTCATTTATTTTAAGACACACAATTGAAAAGAATGAAAATTAAAAGGAAATAGCTTCATTCAGGTACACCCAAGGACGTAGCCATAAAGGAGAGAGCACAGTGTTATCTAGCTGCTTGATGGCTGCTATACACCAGCGATGCAGGCCAGAGCTTGTGTTGTTCTGTTCCCCTGGAAAAACTGAATTTTTACTCACAAAGAGTTGCAAGCGAACCGCAACCACTACTTGCAAGATTTTTCCTCACCGAACTCCAATCCATGGCGGTATCTTAACATCAACTCTCGGACCGCAGTCAGCTTTTCCTTCTTATCCATGGCATGGTAGATGCCAAGCAATCCTGGTGAGCTGCACCACGCACAAGTGCTGCTGGAGGGCTTTGATATCAGCTGGCAGTGCAACTTCGCTCTCTGCTGCCGCTGACAGGGGGATTACTTCCAGCAACTGACTGATGAACTGGAAGAGAAACACCGTTGTTAAATTTTACTGCAGGGCCTCCGGGACTGCATGAACAGAGACATCATTTCCTCCCTCAAACCAAGAAAAGAAATGAGGTGGAAGTGTCAGAATAAATCTTGACATCACACTGACATCAGTGCATTTCTGGGGGGCTGCGGGGAGAAGGTGACCAGCACAAGTTATCATTTTGCTTAACAGCCTAGTGAGTTTCATCAAGCAGAGGGGGAAAAATATGTCAGGAAAGTTTCCAAAACATTGACACACAGGGATTTCAAGCACTTGTTAACACTCACACTAATAACCTATGCAATTAAAATAATTAGTTACCAAAAGGCCTTACAGCACGCTTAAAGGAAATGGTGGTTTTGTACTAGCTGTTATATTTTCTCTCAACTCTGAAGCAATGCAGCGCGCCCAGTGAGGTCATCATCTTTGATTAATGACTTTTCTAAATTAAGTTGTAAGAAAAGCAGCCTCTTGTTTACAACTTTATTTAATGGGTGACAGCAGACTTCTCACAACGAGAAGTGAACATTTATTTTTTTCCTTGCTTTAAAATTCAGTAGTGTTTACAGACTTAAAAACGAGTTAAAGCTGATTAATTCAGCTTTACTACATTTGGTCTTGAAACACAAGAACTGCAAACACTTGCTCTGGGCAAAACAAAAATAAAACAAAACATTCAAGACATCTAGGTAAAAGGAACAGATGACCAAGCACAAAAATTCTATTTTTCCCATAGATTTTGATGAAGATTTTGTTGAAAATACTTTCAGTTTGAAATTTTACTGAGGTGGGCAAGAGCAAGCAAATCACTACATTGCATACTTCAGTTTATGCCTCTAGAAATTCAAGATTGATATTATGACAATTATTTTTGGAGTACCTGCATATTGGCCCAGCAGGATCACCACAATCTCAGCTACTGAATTGTAACTTTATTAAGAACTCTTAAAAAAGCAGTAACACTTGTTCAAAGCTTCCAGACTCACAGGTTACCTTGCAATGGTACCCCCACTTCCAGTTAAGTACACTACTGACCACATCTGTTGCCAGTGGGGCAAGAACACACCTTCTGACTCAAAACATCAGCAATAATGACTACCTGCCAAGGCCACCTTTCTCTCCTTACTAATAAGGCTGGAGGACGAGCTTGTATTACCAGTCAAAAAATATTTTAATAAGCTGTGAAAACCAACAACACTCTCTGCACTTTGTTTACAAACATTTTATCAACAGCTGTCTAGCCTTAGCCAGCACTGCATTTTGTACAATGGCTTAGGGAAACAATGGGATGAGTGACGGGATTCCCAGCTGCTGAAGTCATTCAAGAGCTGCTCCTGACTCTGCACAAACAGGCCTTTCAATTAAAGGGAACTTGTTTCAGAAAGATTCTGGAAAAGTTGCAGTAGGTCCCTTGGTCTCCCCGTGATCGGCATCAGCATGCAGATTGTTCAGTGCTGCAGTAGAGCCAAGCAAGACACCCAAGTAGCACCCTACCTGCATCAATAAGAAATTGGATCTTTCCAATTCAATATACAACTTTAACAGGAAAAGCATGGCATTGGTAGGAAGGGAAAGGCGAAGGATGCTTTGCGTAACAGCAAGCAGCAAATACGTCTCTATTCACTATTCCAAACAGACCCAACTTCAGCTTTTTCTCTTTTAGTATGACCCAGAGGTGTCTTAAGAGAAAAGCACAAAGTGCAAACAAGCGCTGCAGTTCCTGCCACCATCTTACCCTTTACTTACTTTTGTGTATTGGCTGGATGGGAGGAGATCCACAAATACTTTGAGATCAGTAAAACAGCAGGGTTTGTCCCCAAATTTTTTGAAGTATTGGAACATTAGTTCTTCTGGATCACCTAGGAAAAAGGCCAGTTCATCCTTTTAATATGCTCCATTAAAAGCTGAACCTATGAAATCACTGTGAGAAATCTTTAACTCATTTTTTCTTTGAGATCACAAACTGAGTTACAGAACAAATAGCTGCACTACTGTAGATTTTAATCAGAAGCTCAATGTCTTTGATAACCAAGGAGAGAGAGAGACACAAAATTCTAAGAGCTTCATTCAAGCTACTTTGGCAGATAAGAGCTCAGCATAACGGGCATGCATACAGAGTCTCTGCTTACCTAGTTAGTTATTTTTGGATGGAAATACAAAAGGAACCAGTAAGCACAGGTATTGCTGTAATCATACCCTCTCCTTCACTGACTCCCTAACTGTAATTTTTAAATGCAAGTTGTTAAGAAAACAAATCCTGGTGTTATTGGGGAAAAAAAAAAAAGAATGAACACCCAGAGATTATTACAGCTAAACAGAAGGACTTTTTACAAAAGCAGTGCATCAGGAATGCACTTTTCATCAAAGTGTAACAGATCATATGCTCTTAAAGTCCAGTAAGTCCTTTTAAATGTTTCCCTGATTGCTTTTACAAGCCTGAAGTAGCCTGAACTATCTTCCTTTCCTCAAGCTTCATCTTCTAGTGATATCAAAATCCTTTACATACTGAAACCAGCACAGAGATTTTAATACCACACTGCTGAATTAAATTCCCACTGAATACAAAGAGCTTGTTTTGAGTTCTCCCCCAATGATTCATTTATCATCCAGTTAGTGGCTCTTACCTAGTTTATATTCATCATTACAACCTCTGCAACGCAAGCGTCTAATCAGCTCCAGTTTAGCTAAATATGGTCCCCGAAGTGGCCGAGCGCTCTTAGATTCTTCTGTTATCCTCTCTTCTATAAATTTCACAGCTTGCTCGATAGAATAGTGTACCTCTCCTTCCAAAGACCTGTGCAATTAATTACAGAAACAGAAGACTCCTTGATTTTTTCCCTCATTCCTAGGACACTGAAAACACGCGCTCAGCATATTCCCAGAACACTCTTAAGGAAACCTGGCATGATGGATTCTCTAATTCAATCACTATGAAAAATACAAACTGGAAGAGCTCTACCGTGTACAAACCACTTTACACAGCTGTTTCCAACAGACTATTGCCAGCCTCCAAAATAAAACAGGGAGAAGACAACATTTGGGGCCTGATGCCAGGAAGTCACCCACCCAAAGACAGGGACAACACTGTACATGAATGCAAGAAGTTCTCTGCATCACAAAGGAGAAAGAAATCCAATGCAGAACTGTTAACTTACTGTTCTTCTTCCAGCGGAGGTGTCCAGGATTCATCTATGAGTTGGAACACTGAATCAAAGTAAGTTATATAGAACTGCCAATCATCTGAGCTGAAACAAAAAGCAGGCACAGAACAAGAAGTTTAGGGAATTGCCAAAACAGTAATTCACTTCTAAAACTGCATTCCTTGCAAAAACTGAATTTAAGGAGTATCATATTTACATTACAAAACACACCAGTGTACTAAGAATCATTTCTCCTTGAAAAGGTCTCACATCTGAGAGGAATGCCATTATCCTGAGTTTCTTGAAATGTAATAAAGGAGACAATTTCCATAAGGAATCGAGACAAGTTAAAAATTCTCATCTTAATATTTACATTCCAACCATTGGACTCAGCTCATGAATACCTCCACAGAATGCTGAAGCACAAGTTTCACGTCTCTGTGTTCAGAACAATTTAAAAGTACAGAATAGGAGATGGCCACGTACAAAGAGGTAAAGTTGCGAATAAAGCGTCCTTATACTAACTAGTTCTACTCATCATCAGTGTTGCGAGATGATTTCTCCCCTTACGACTTCCAAGTTTCCCATAAAACAGACTCTTATTTTCCTCTAGTTCTGCCTTCTGCAAGTATACCTATCAAATACTAGTACCAAGAACAATTCTGGAAGAAACATTTTGCTGTCTCTTTGAACAGTGGATACAGGACCTGCTAACCTTCAAGACTCTGTACTGAGCTTGTAGTTAAGCTTAGGACATAGCTAAATACAAAAACCAAAGGACAAATCTCTCCTGACAGTTCCAAGAAACAGATTTGGTCTATAAGCATGCTCTCTTCTGATGCATCTGTTCAAAGCATGTGTTTCCCAGGATAAAGTCTGGCCAAGTGAGAGAAATGAAGTTTCAGAAAATTAGACAAACGCAGTTGTTCTCCTCTCCCACCATAAAAAAAAAAAGAGCTGGACAGGCAGCACAGCCTTCAGAAGTAAGGGAAACACAAGTTTATTGCATGAACATGTAGCTGAACTCAACCTTCAAAGTCAAAGAGAAGCAACTATGCTACTGACAGACTCTCCCTGTGACCTTCACCACTGTCCTTTAGCATTCACTTTTGTTGCCTTCCTCCTCAGGCTTTGGAGTGCAAATGTTTAGAAATGCTTTGAGAACCTGATATTCTTCTGCTTTAACAACCACTTATAAGAACCACTACACAATGCAATTCATGACCAGCCAGGATTTTTCCTTCAGCTCTCAGTAGGATTGCAGAATCATCATCTCACTTTTTCAGCAGCAGCCTTCTCGACAGCGCGTTGCACTCTGGCCACCTACACAGCTTCTTGTACATTGCCATACACTTGTTCTCACGGCTTTGCAGCTCACTTGTTAACTTCTCTAAATTAAAAACAGAAGGGCAAATTTGATTAATCAATGCATTTCCTTCTCTGCTTTCTGAATAAAGCATCTTCTTACAGCCAAGGATGCAAAGCAGTAATGCAACGGAAGAAAGGCCAGATTTCCTGCGGAAATCTTCACATCCCAATTTCTTAAAACTGCAAAAGCATTTTAATCACCAGAAAGAAGAGTCCCTAAAAATGTAGGATAAAATTCATCACTGAATATAACACTTAAGTATCATGAACAGTTCGGTAAAAGAAGACTGCACAAGATCACTTCCAGAATTTGCTTCAACGTTTGAAACGTTGATGCTAAGAGTCAGGCTTGCTTACAGCTTTTTTTGTAGCCAGTGGACAAACCCAAAGCAAAAGAGAACTGCTGTTCCACCACACAACTGTGATTATTAATGACAGAAAACATTACCTCCTAGTTTTCCTCTCACAACATCTAAGGCTTCCTGATATTTCTCCAAACGTTCCAGAATCATGTAGTAAAGTTCAACCTTAAAAGAAAGCAATGAAATTTGCTAGTGAAACAAATACAGGTATGCCAAGAAATAAAGTGACTCTTGTTACTGTCATTAGGAGATAGCAAGGACTGCAAAGCTATCTTTAGCATCCCAGAGGGTGGAGCACTGAGGAATTTAGGTCTTTTTTCCATTCTCAGTCCTAAAGTTTCTCTTGGGGCCTCCCAGGGAGCAAAAACAAGTACTTCATCTGTCAAATCAAATGCCAAATAAATTCCTTGGCCACACTCTCACGCATCTCTCCCAGATCTCTGCTCTGTTTTCCTTCTGTCCTACTACATTCACGTTACTTCCAGAACACTGATTATTATCTCAGAAAATCGTTAAAATAATCAGCTTCCTTTAACGCTGCATTCCTTGTCTCAGTAACATTCAAGTCAAGCTGAAAATATCTGCATGTCTTACTTCAGCCTCAGCTTCGATCTTATCTTCTTTCACCATTTTTTCCACCATTCTTTCAGCTAGTGGCAAAAACATCGTCTTGGAGAGGTTTTCATCCTGTGCTGAAATAGACTAAAGGGAGGAAGAATTACTGTAACAGTTCAACTGCCCCACTAAAAGAGGAAAAAAGTAAATCAGATGCTTTAACCCCATACCCCCAACCCACACGTTCAGAACTACCATCTACAACATGAAGAGAGCAACCCTGCTCTCTCTGCCTTAAATAAGCATCCTGGAAACACTCTTGATTACGTTGTACAGAGATTCTAGACATGCAAAACCCCCAGCAAGTAACATGTAGCAAGAACATGCTTGTATTCTCCATGCTATGGTATTTTAGAGAATGTAACTAACGCCTCTCTGCTTATTTTTTTGCTTGGCCAACACTTTGTCAGCAGATTCAGTAGCAGCTGAACAACCTAAAAGCAGCACAGCTGAGCTGCTGTTACCTGCACGCTTTCTGCAGTCTGAAAGACGTGCTAAGTCCAGAACTCCTAGAACCTCTATAGCCTACTAACAGAACACTTCTGTCTAACGGGGTACAGATGCTATTCGTTACCTTTCTAACTTGAGAGACAGTAGGGTACTAGTCCAGATAAGAGAAGAAATCAAATTGTATAAGCATGGTAAAGCAGACCAGTCAAGCTGCATTAAAAACCACTGCATTTGTTTTCGACCATTTTAGTAATGTGGTTTCAGGAGGGTTCCATCCTCCCAGCATCATACAGAAGTGGTTCAAACTGACATTTTACTTCAAATATCTATTTTCACTCAAAACATTTCTAGGTTTGCACTATACCTGCAGTGAAAGTCAAACTCATTTGCAACACTGTACACACCTGCATGATCAAGCTCATCACGGACCAAAAATAGTAAGGATTTTTGGGTACAATCTTATAAAGTGCCATTCCAGCCTGAAAAATAGAAGACGGAATAATTAATCCTAAACCACATCTGTTTATGAACTCATGACAGACAACACAAGTTAAACAACAACAATGGCAAGAAATAACTTAGAATTATCAGCTAGAGTAGAGGATTTTTAGTAACCCATAAGCCCTTCCGATACCTAGCTTACTTCTAAAGAAGAAGAAAGAAGGTGAAACCATTTCAAAGATCAAATACTTTGTGCTAGTCTGACAAGGAACAGCAGTGAGCATGTGCATGTCTGACTGCCTGAACAGATGAAGCTTTAATTAGAAATGGTAACTGCAGCAGGAAGCCAAAGACTTATTCTTTAAGAGCAAGGGAGATGTTTCCAGCGTGGATTTTCACTAGCATGCTCAGTAAGTGCTAAAAGGCCTTCCTCGGGTAAGCAACTGCCCTTCACTCATTTCAGACACACTGAGATACCCGAGAGACGAGGGCACCTGTACACGCAGAGCAGCGCTTACACAAAGGTCAAGCTGAAAGCCTGGCTGCATCAAAGCAGAACTGAAGCATTCAAGATTTTCTAGCCTAGCACAGAAACAGTTATTCTAGCATTTCTCTCACAGATTTCCAGTGTCTGTGTAGAATGACAGACATCACTTTTTCCCTAGCAAAATTAATTATAAGGAACCATACATAATAGAATACTACTCCTTCCGTAGGACTTCTCTGCTCATTTTCTGACTGTGTTCTCAGTTTGCACTTCCCATTATTCTCAGCTGAAATACCCCAGGACACAGGCAACCAAAGGTTATTTTCACTCTCTAATCAGTTAGCATCCCTGTGCTACATCCCTTACTACAGCTAAAGCAAGCCTCTGGTGCTATTCAGTCTTATACAGCCTAATTCTGATATAACTGTGAGCTCAGGTTCCTAGGAGATTCTGAACCTTAAAATATAAAGACAGGAGAGTGATGTTCCACTCGAAGCTGATAAAGCCTTTAAAACAATATATGGACAGGAATACCTAGAATTAGTTTTTAATCAGAAAAAAATCATGGTATATTAGCTCAGATTTTTGGAAACACTCCCCAAACACACACAAAACACAGTATTAGGTTTGCTATGACCAATATATATGAAGTTCTTATTTGAGACACCATAACTCAGGTTGATCAGTAAAGGAGTATTTAAAGCCTACACGTAATAACAAAATGAAACAAGCAAAGAATTGAGACCGAAACAAACTTCATACAGGTATTTATCACAGCATCTCTGAAAACTTCTGGTTACGAATAAGTGGACGGACTATCAGATATAACATAGCTCCACTTGGAGAGGAGATAGAATATGGTTAAATTAACCTTGACTTTTTGGATATTCAGCTACACAATATATATCAAGCAGGAAGAACCTTGGTAAATTTCACATACATCAATATCTTTGCCCCTGTCTATATTTTGATCTCAAGCAGCACTCTTAGAAAGGAGAACAACACTACAGCTCAATGTGTCCTTCTAGGTATTTAAACCACTCTTGTACAAAAATTCAAGTCACCTTAACACAGTGGGAGCAACAGGGAGATTAGGAGTCATTTACTTGGCTCTGTGCTTTTTTATACAGAAGAGTGAGCGCACATGCTCTGAAAAGAATCTTCCATTTATAGGCATTCTCCAGGCACCTAATTTGGAAGGGCTGAAAACAAAGCTAACCAGTACGACAATGTTCTGCCAGCTGAGGCAGTGTACTTAAAGAAAGCACGTTTAAGTTTCTCTTCACTGAGTTATGACCTATACAAGTCTACTTTTATGTTAGATTCTGTAGGCAAAAGCACGGGTAAGATAGCTTTCTGTAAACAGGGCAGCAAATTAAAGAAGAAATCAAGTTTGAAAACATGGATCAGGCTATCCCGCTATATCATCTCGTACCTACTCCCTAACTCCTTCATAATACACTGCCTCATAGGTAACACCATACTGTGCAACCCTAATTGACAAAAACCTCCCATCCCCAAATCACCAGCATATCCTATCAGTTCAGATATGCATGCAGAAGGCACAATCATCACACATCTTGAGAGGAAAAGGAAGCATTTGCCTTCACAGAACCTTTCCCCTAAGATAACGGCTTTCTCAGCCCTTCCGTACGAACTAGCAGAGTAACTCCTGCACTAGCTCAGCCTTAGCTTTCTGGACGATTACATGCAACTTGAAAAGGCCTTACCAGTATGATAAGAGACTTCAAGTGTCACCTCAGAACAACCAGAACACAAGCCGTTGATCGTACCTGTTGCATCTTCTTGTATTCTCCAACCCTGGCATAGGCCATGAAGAGATGAGAGTGATACTCTTCGCTGTTGGGGACCTTCTTCACAGCTGCCTCATAAAGCTTAGTTACCAGCTCCGCTAAACCAAAACCACAGGCTTGAGTTGAGACACATTCAGGGATTAAATTTAAAGCATGGCTACCTAAAATTAGCATCAGTGATACTCTGAAGGGTAATCTAATTATGCTCATCGACCACAGAAATTGTATGCTCCCCCGGAAGACCCCATGCACTACAAACAGGGGAAATGCTAAAAAAAAATAAATAAATTAACAGCAACAACTGATCAGAAATACTTCTAAGTCTTGCCTTAAGCAAGTTTATCTACTTTGGACCATTAAAACTAAATCAAGACTTCCAGTCCTGGCAGAATGATGCCTCCACGTGAATTATGCATCAAAACACAAAGCATTTTCAGAGCCTAATATCCAATTATTTACTCTTCTCACAGGTTTGTCCACGTTAGTCATATCCTGTTCCTTCTCAATTGCCTGCTTTAGTACCCTTAACAAGTGAAATACTTCACACCATACTTCTTAACAATAGGCCTATCATGACACAATACTTATGATACTACGATATGTAAAAACAGAAGGATGAAAAACAAATCACATCTCAACGTAGTATTAAAAAACAAAATATGGTTTGTATTTCAGTTTTCTTTCTGAGTTATAAACCTCAAAGTTAAAGACCTGAGCTTAATGTTTAAGCGAGCTGCTTACAATCCCAGGAAGGCTTTTGACATTCTCTAGGGTTTGTTTATTTTGTAGTCACAACACACAGAAGTTTCATAGTGTTTAGGAAGTAACACTTTAACTACATACATGTATGTGTGTACATCACAGAAAGAAAGAGATTAGAGGGGCATAAGCAGTTGCTACGCATCAAAAAATGGTTGCAGATTGATACAACACATCTATTTCTACAACAGTTGTTTCACCCCATTGTTATTTGCTCCAGTGATTCAACAGTAAACATTGCTACCACCACCAAGACCCACAAGAAGCTGCCAGAAACAACTGTTTAGAGATGCAGATAAGCACCATGTGAGCTCTGGCTTCTTTCAGAAGAGGACACGCAGTTTCACTCAGTCATTCACAATTTAGTATTTTAAGATAACATCCTGCTGTGAGGATCCACATTCAAAAAGGTAACAGTCAAGTGAGAAGGCCAGGATTTCCCTTCTGTTACACAGCTTCTCAGGGCCTGAACCCCTCAACTACAGCCTCTTAAAAATATGCCCATACTTGAACTCTGGACTCTGTACATTTCTCAAAAAAAAATAATAATACGGGTCCCACATACTTTAGAAGAATGTAAATAACTATGATTTCTAAGAGAGGCAAAGGAAAAAGCTTACGTCTGTGCATTTCCCGGTAAAGAATAGTCAGTGCTTGCAAGGAATTGTCATCTGTGGGCTCAAGTGCTGCTACTTCTTGTGCCAGAGCATACGCTTCATCCTGCTTGCCAGTTCTCTGCAAGCCAATTGCCTTTAGAACCTATTGATACAACACAGAGACAGCTGTTAGGAACACAGTTGGCAGTTACCAGCTGAAAGTCCTCTCATTCCTCGTGAGGAGAGGGTTTTTGCCCAAGCAGCTAATTATTTCTACAGAACTCAAGTTTTTATGGAGCTTCTAATCCATATGGCTGCAGAGGAAAATTTCCAAATGCAAGCTGCATCAAACAGTGTGGCTTTGCATTTCTTAACACGCATGCAGGCCACTAAGGCATCCGCTGCAACTCAGATTTTCCTACCTGCAGGCTGAAAACTGACCAATTTTCATTTTTTTTCTTTTAATAACTGGCCAGAGAGAAGTGACAGAAATGAGATTCGGGTCAATGACACTCACTTCAGCTTGGGAAGTTTCCAAAATGTAGAAGTGGTATGAACTGCAGAGGAAAATCCATAGGGAAAAGAGAACAGTAGAAAGACACTCAAATGTTCAGGAAAGTGAGGAACAAAACTCCTTCCCCTTCAACAGGGGCACAAGGAGGGCAGCAGAAGAGACAGAAGAGCGGATGCCTCAGAAACCTCCTGGTTAGGTTTCAGTAAGGAACACTCCTTCCAAGTGAAAGCTTTGCTCCAAACTACTACAAAGTACCTCAACCTAATGTCTAAAGGAGGCATTTTAAGGCACAGCTCATCTGCCCTGGTTGCTTGCAGTGGCTCTGGCAGGGCTCTAGACAATCAGCACAGGTGTAACCACATATACCAGTCATCAGAGGCACCTCCCTAGGCAGATCTGTATGATTTTTCAAACACAAAATTGTGAGAATTCTGTGTTTGGAGGGTTCAGAACCCGCTGTGATCTCTAGAAGCTCACAGGCACTGCTGGAAAAGCCCAGTGAAATGCTCCAGGTCTCAAACCACACTCAGCAAACGAGCTCAGCGACCAACCACCCCGCTTACCTTTGCGCAGTGAAGATCCTTGTGTTTTTTGAGCAGTTTATCTGCTTGCTGGATTGCCATTTTATTATTGCCATTATCAAGATAATCTGCGTAAGAAGAACATACACAGAATTACAACAGGCAGCCAGACCATTCGGGAAGCCTACCTCTACCTTCATCGCAGAGTTCCGTGCTGTTAGGCTGGTAGTGCAAAACCCCTTTTCCTTGCACAATTACTACTAAGCCAAACATTCAGGAAACATGTCACTTTGTAGCCCCAGTATTCATCTCTAGTCATTCACACAAACAAGCTTTTGTAATTACTCCCCGTAGCTCATTACACCAACAAAAGAGCTGTACAATAGAACGAGTCCTGCTGCTATAGCTCTTCACTACGCTCTTTGCTCCAGTAAAAGTAGAAATTAATTTGGTGTGCCTTTGGGAGACTCTGAATGACTTTTAACACACAGCAGGTTAGGAATCATAAACTCCCAATCCATCAAAGTGCTGCGAGAAGACCTACTTGTCCACACGGTCTGTATTTCAAGCAGAATGAGCCTGTCCCCTAACAGAGTATCACCAAGCTTTAACCAGAGAAGTTTCAAAGCCAAAAAAGCGGAGTGAGGACATCCCACTACCCGTAACACTTCAGCTGTAGAAAAGCTCTGTCCCAGGACCACTTCTTTCAGCTTTGTATTATGAATTTCAGCTCCATCTACAGCATGTAGACAAACCAGCAATTTTTCTACAACGACAAACCAGCTATTTTAGATTAGAACATGGGCCCTCCGTGCTTCCCCTCCTTCCAAAATTCATACCTACTAACCTGAACCTTCAGAAAAGCTGGGCTGCACCTGACATGCCAACAGGGACAGGTCTGCTCACGCTGTTCTGGCCTCTCCCCTGACAGGTTACGAGCAGAGATAATGCTAGACCATTGAAGTTACATTACACACCTTTTTTTTTTTTTCAAAACTGTGGCTCTCATGAAAAGAGCTCTCACTAAGAGGTGATCTTTAGTAAAATGAGGTGATCTTCAGTGCAAAATGTGCATCTGTACCAGTGAGATTTACATCTCCAGCAGCTTTAACATTTGCTTCCATAGCCAAGTGGTACAAATTTGGAGTAGGGCTAATTGGACTCCTGAGACCGTACAGACAAAACCTCAAATGAAGGCAGCCTGCCCACACTAACCAAAACGAAATGTTGCTGTATAAAATATACAGATGGCTTGAAACCCTAATATTCTGCCTTCACACAGGTTAGTTGGCCATTTCACCTTACTGAAGCCTGTACATCACCTTTTAACATTAAAACTTAAGCACAGACTTATCAGTGAAGAGGTTTTAAGAACTCTGCAGCAGAGCATCCTGGTGATCCCTCCATACGCAGGCAGAGATGTCTTGATTTAAGGATCTGTGTTGCATGGCTCACTTACAGATTACCCACCGGTCTTGGAGTTGTCTAACAACGAGCTGCCCTGATAAGATCTCTGCTTTAGGTCTTCTGAAGTAAGTCAAATAAACCACAAACCTCTCTAAGCTGCAGCAGAACAAAAAGACAGTGTTTTGCTAGCAACAATTAAGTTTGTTGTAAGCTAAGGGAGCTGGCAACTTCCAAAGAAATTCAAAGGGAAGGAAAATATTTAAGTCCACGTTGGTTGTGGGTCTGTAGGTGGATACGTTCGATGGCTGCAAACGCAACCCATGAACCTCCAGGTGAAGGCAGACAAATTAAGATGAAAGATAAACAGATCTGTCAAGGAACCCCAAGCAATCAATGCACAAGGCGCAAACTTAAAAGCGCTTTTTCAAGTAAAGAAACAGACTTTTAACCTCATGCTGTATATCTCCACTTTATGACTTTTGTGAAATCAGGTAACGCTTTCCAGACCTGGGAGAAAGCACTTCTAAAGCTCTCTCAGTAAAAGCCACGCTCTGTGAAGTCAGTACAGCGAAATACATCTCAACGTCATCTGCTTTAATCTGTTAAATTTACCACATTTTTGTTTTACGAACATTTCAGACATTGCCCTAATTATTCATGTGCAATTATTTGTGTAATCACAGCATGTACGAGAAAATTAAGGGAAGAAGTAAACTGCACAAATACAATCATAAATGGAGAAAAAAAATTGTTAAATACACTGCACAACTGCAATCAGTAATTATGCAGCAAACTTTAAAACAACAATACAAGTGCAACCACACAGCCTTCCTTGATTTCGCTGGGACCTAACAGAGATGCAAATCTATAAACTGAAAGGTCCTGACTCTGAGGGCAGTGCTGGGCTGCAAGGACCATTCCCAAGGCGCGCTCATCCCAAATTCAGGGCTGCTCTCCGTGCGTTCACAGGGAGAGTTTTCTTCTGCTGCTGAGCACATTTACTGAAATCTCTACCCATTCCTGTATTTTTGAAGGAACGACACCGTAGCCTGGGGAATTGTTTTTCTTTTCTTCCCTTGCATTTGCATAAACAGAAACTTGCCCACAATTTCTTGAGCAACCCCAGGAGCAGGGAGCAGCCCCGGGAACATCCAGGGACAGCTCAGCACATGGGGGTGCCCAACAATACCATCTCACAGCTACCTCACCCTTACATTTCAATCAATTTCTGTAGCAATACAACCAGCCGCTACACCCCAACACACCACCCTAACGAGCCTGCCTGGCTGCGTTTTAATAATTACTACTAATAACTAATTCCCAGCTGCTAAAACACCCCGAAACACCAACACGGCGCTCGGGCCGCGTTCTCCTCCTGCTCCCCTACAGCAGGCTGCGAAACGACCGAAGGGGCAGCGCTCCCGCAAAAAACAGAGATACCCAAAAAGCGACGAAACCCCCCAAAAAGCGGCGCCCCCCCCTCCCCAAGCCCCGCGGGGCCCGTACCGTAGATGGGCCGCAGGCGCCGGTCGTTGGGGTCCTGCACATGGCCCCGCGCCGCCATGATGAGAGCGCAGAACCGCACTGCGCAGCCGCGCCGGGGGCGGGGGGAAGGGGCCGGGCCGGGCCCTCAGGGCTCCCCTCACGCAGCGCCGCCACACGGGGGGGGTGCCCCGAGCTTTTGGGGGTGTCTTGTCCTTCCCTTCCCTTCTATCCCCTTCCATTTTGTTCACTTATTTCCAGTCAGCAACCCTAGGTCCGTGTAGGTGGCCCCGTCGGAGCGCCCTGGTGTGCCCCCCCTGTAGCCGCCCGTGCCCCGCTGCCCATGGGTTTGGCCCCGCTTTGGGGTTTTTCGGCTGCGAAATTGCCGCCTTGTGTGGTTTTGGGGGCTCTCAGGTGTGGAGGTGGGGATGACGAGCCCGCATGGTAACGTGTGTGAAAATTCAGCAAAACTGTGCCGAACTGAGAGCCTCTATAGGAGCGGGGGATCAGGCTTAGAGTTCATTTAGTTCACTTTATTTACTTCATTTTATTTACTTCATTTTATTTAGTTTGTTTTATTTAGCTCATTTTATTTAGTTCGTGTGCCCTGGCTGCTCCAGCTGCACTCAGCAGTGCTTGCTGTGCGCTCCCTGCACACCTCACGGCTTCGCGCTGCTCCCTGCCAGGCCAAACGCTGCTGGATGAGCTGGGAACAAGCAGCACGTGTGGCCTTTGTGAGCTGCGCTCGGCCACGCTGTGCACAGACCGTAGCACGCGTCTTGGCAAGAAGTCAGCAATTCGTAAGATAGCAGGCATACTTTGCCTTTAGTAGGAACCTGTGGGAATAATTTAATGCTGTATTGCAGGATGTGTCTAACTAGAGCTTGAAGAGGAGTGATAGATACTGACTGGACCTCAGAAACCTGTAAAACACTGTGTAAGTTGAGTTATAATTTGGCTTTATAACTTAAACTCTCCGTGGTATTTACATCTGATTGACTGTATTAGTCATTACTCATCTTCTATCTGCCTGCATCTTGAATGTGGTAAAGACAAAGTACGTGTTCTTTCACTTAGGGAGAAAGGAGTGTAAAGATGGATGTCATCCTCTAGGTAATCTTTTTTTCCCTTACCTATTACAAGTTTGACTGACAGCTGAGAACAAATACTGAATTAGAGAAACTCTCTGTGCTCATTAGGTAGTATTTGAGGATGCAAAAAAAAAAAAATTATGGTTAGCTCTGTGAGCACCCATTTCTTGATGGACGCAGTGACAGTGTTTACAAGTGGAACTATTGTCAGGAGTTGTTGTTCTGTTCAATTTAATGTTCAATCCTTAGTTTCTTGGGAAACTCAGTTTGTAATTTTTACTTGATATAATTATAATTTCTCTGAAAAATTACATAGTGACTATTTGCTTCTTTTTCGTTCTTTTGTAGAAACTGTGCCTGTAGATTGCAAAACTCGCTTTTGCAGAGACCTTTTCCAGCACAGATCACCAACTCCCTTTCTTCCTGCTGTTACTCACAGAAACTCAGCTCCATTATTTTCTGAGCTCAGGCTTGTGTTTGCTTTAGGTTTTAGAAAAGGCAAGGTGAGGCATTACTCAGGGAGCAATGCCTGATCCTGGCTGGGTTATTAATGTGATTAACTTGCATCTGCTTGTCAGTGCTGAAATCTGTGCCATCCGCAGCTGCATGCCGCACCCTGCCAGCACATCCCATGTCCCCAAACAAAGAGCCTGAGGGGCTGCGCTCTCCTGATGGCCCCTGCCAGCTTCTCGGAAGAGCCTGGCACAGACGTGGTTTACCCGTGAGACAGTGCCAAAACTGATGCTTTTTGTTTTTCTTCAAGTTTTAAGGTTTTAAGAACACTGGCACATCTCGAGACCATAGTAAAGGTGTTAGACTTTTTCCTTTGTAAATATGGGAGGTAATTTTTTTGACATCAGAAACAGTTTCACAGAGGGGCTCAACTTTCTCACCAAGGGGAACATGATGTGGGAGATTAGGATGCTCTGAGTGTTACCAACATTCTTTCATGGTAAATTTTAATGGAATTAATGGAGAAATTCACCATTTAGTGAATAGACTAGTAATAGGAAGTCAAACATTCACAATCAAGCCATAGGAATGACACTGTGAGAAACTCATCCACTCTGGGGAATTTTGGTAGAGTCCCTGATGTGGAGTTGCTTAGTTCAACGCATTTTTCAGAAAAGAGATGTTTTACTTGGGGAAGGAAAAACAATACACAGAAATCTTCACAAGCCAGTTCCTTTATTTCAAGGGCTTATAACGCCTCGGTGACCTTTTGTTCTCAAGATAGTGCCTCTTCAGATGAGGGCTGCAAGCAGGAGCAAAGAAGTTTGTCAGTGGTTGCAGTTGTTTCGAGAAGTTGGATTCCTTTTAGATGATTACACAATTAGCAGCACTTGTCAGCAAGTATTTTTAAGTTAAAGCTGGGTTTGACCAGAGGTTGCTTCACTTCCCTATTGAAGACAAGTCTTGCAGGGGATTAACTTGTGCTGGCTGGCGGGGTGGCTCCCGTGGTGCTTTCCCCCAGGCACACATCCACAAGATCCTTTCCTGGCCTCCCAAAACCTTGTGCCCGCAAAGTTCAGCGGCGTGTGTACCCTGCAGACATCGCACCTTGTGTGCTGTGTGGGAGAGGGATTTTCCTTGAGAACTTCATGTGGAAAAAAACCCTTCTAGATGCCTTCTAACAAAATGCGGAACTTCAACACCCAGACGTGTGAGGTGTTCACGTGGTCTGCTCATCTCTTCCTTGTGCCTTGAGACAGAGGCATTGGTTTGCTTCAGGATGTGCTTTGACAACACTCTCTTGATGCATCTTAAATGCCGTTAGCTTCTCTCCTGAGGTATAGATTCTCTCCCAAGCCCAGTACAGGAGGGAATAGAATCAAAACCTGAGAAAATATATTATTACGGTTTACTGGCACCTAAAAAGGCATCAAAGTGAAAAATCGGGGCTTCAAAGTAATGAAAGTTATAAATTTTATAGCGTAGCCTTTTTCAAAATTGTCACTGCACCCTTTTAAGTGCTGTGCTGTATTTTGCTCCGTAGCCTGTTACATGGTCATGCTTGGTTACCTGCAATCGTCTTGAAATTTAACGTGAAGACCTGTCAAGGAGTTTGATTTCTTTTGCTTGGCGTTTGATCCTGGAATTCAGAATATGCCGTGGTGGTGTGGTCGGTTAGGTGAGGCACCACCGGCTGCTTTGGCCTATTGGGGACAGGGAACGGGGCTGTTTTTATGTGGTTTTACTCAAGAACGAGGCATTTGGTTTGGAGAGGCGCCAGGCCAGGCCGCAGGAACAGCTCCACAGCAGATTTTAGACGTGAGAGGAGCCAGGGTTTGGTTCAGGAAGGCAAAAACCTCTGGAAGCAGTGACCTGTGCCGCACCGCTGAGGCGGCTGGGGAGCCGTGGTGGGGCTGGCTTAGGTACAGGAGCGGGCTGGTTTTGGAAGGGGCACGTGTGTAAACCTGTATTTTGTTTATACATGTGTTTAAATGTTTATATATTACGTTTAAATGTTTATGTATTTATACACAGAGCCGGATTGCTCGAGGCGCGAGGCCTGCGGGCTGTGAAGCGATGATGCCCCCCCCCCCCCCCCCCCCCCCCCCCCAAATCTCCTCAGGCGGGGGGCGGGGCCAAACTTCAAATCCCCACAGGGGGGGCGGAGCCCTCAGCCCGGTGACGTCTGCGCCAGCCAATCGGCACCCAGGGCCGTTCGAGCGGTGATCGGCACCCGCTTAGACCAATCAGCTGGCGGCGGGGGCTTGCCACCGACCAATGAGAAGGCGGGAGGCGGGCGCGGCGGGGCCGGTCGGAAGCGCGAGACCGGGCCCGGCGGCGGCTGACGGAGGAGCCGGGTGAGGGGCGGGGGGCGCCGGGCCCTGAGGTGGGGGTCGGGTTCTCGCCCCCTGCTGAGGGCGAGGAGCCCTCGGGGGCCGCTGAGGCGTTTTGGGGAGCGGGCACGGAGCCCCCAGAACCGGGCGGGCTCGGGGCTGGCGGCTGTGGGGGGCACCGGGGGCTGTGGGGGGGCACCGGGGCCTGACCGGGGCCTGACCGGGGCCTGAGGGGAGCGGGCGGCGGTCGTGTGGGGGCCGCTGGGTGCCGCTGACCCGACCTCTCCTTCAGCTCTCGCCCCCAAAATGGCCACGGCTGCGGTGCCGGAGGGGGAAACCCGGCTGTGCGGCAACTGGTAAGAAACGAAACCGAACGAAACCGGGCGGCGGGGAGCCGGGAGGCGGCGGGCAGGCTGGGAGGGGGGCCGGGGTGGTTCCTCTCTGCAGGCGCAGAGCGGTTTGCACAACCGTTACTCACCCTCCTGACGCACCTGGGCAGAAACGGAGGCGGTGGGATAAAAAGGGAGGCTTGGCTGGCAGCGAGGAGGGTGGGAAGTACTCGGCATGAAGATTTCCTCACAGCTGTGTGGCTCAGAAGCAAAGACGTAAAAAAAAAAAATAAAAAAAAATCAGTAGGTGCATGTGAAGTGTCAGTTGTTTTCCTTTGATAAGTTATCATCCCTCAGAAGCTCCAGCGTTGGTAAACATTTATTGATAACGGTGTCACTTCAGAAGTTGCATCTTAAATACCAGCAACGAAACATCACGTGTTTTCTTTTTTTCTGAAGAGGACACTGGAATCTAAACATTTTTTTGCAGTGTCCATCTGGTTTGGTTGCCAGAAGTTACGTGCAGCGTAGGCGCCACTGCTGGACTTTGTTGTTTGTCAGGCTGTTTGCTTCTTGGGGCCTGGCAGGGGAGAAAAGCGATCAGATGTAGCGTTTTGTCCTTGTGGCAGGGGAAGGTAAAAGCAGTAGGCTGTACAGGTAAAGATCCAGCACAACGGAATCAGTTACTGAATTTTTCCAGTGTTGGACTTATTGCCGAGCTATGAGAAGCTGTGCCTTTCTTTTCAGGAAGAAACTTTTATTTTCTCCAATTTAACTCAAACCTGGTGATAACTTTTGTATGCTGTAAAATTTATCTTTCACATAAAGAAACTAATCCACCATGAATCTTCATGCTTAATTTGTGACCTTTGTATGTTAAACACATTCATATCCTGACTACACAGGAACCTAGAAGTCTGGTGGGCTCATTGTTTTTTAGTTGCTTGATTCTATAAACTACGAAATCCTAT